TTTTCAATCCATTTAATGAGGTTTCCTCCTATACCTATCTTCTGTAGTTTCATCAATAATCGTTGGTGCGGTACTTTGTCGAAAGCTTTAGAAAAGTCTAAATATATCACGTCTGTAGGTGTTTGTTTGTCAATGGCATCAGTTAAATAGTCTAGGAATTCTAGTAACTGTGTTGTAGTAGATCGGCCTCTTCTAAAACCATACTGTTCATCACAAAGAAGATTGTTGTTCTCTAGATGTTCCATAAGTTTGTCCTTTACTATCGATTCCAAAGTCTTGACAACCAAACTGGTGAGGCTAATTGGTCTGTAATTTGATGCAAATTTTTTATCACCTTTTTTAAAGATTGGGGTTATGTTTCCTTCTTTTCATTGATCAGGAAGTAAACCTTCTTGTAGTGAGCTGCTGAAAATGATTTCTAGTGGTGTTCCAAGTTCACAGCTGAGCTCTTTAAGGACTTTAGGGTGTATTCCGTCCGGGCCAGCAGATTTGGTGATCTTTAGTTTTTCGAGTTTAGCAGATACCTGTTCCTTAGTTACGGTAACATCATTTAGTTTGGGTCCATTGTCGTTGGTTTGATAAGCAGTTGGTCTATTGGTGTCTTCGACTGTGAATACACTGGTGAAGAAAGAATTTAGTTCTGTTGCCTTGTTCATATCATCGGTAAGTGTCTCGCCACTTTCTGTAGTAATAGATACGATTTGGTTACGAGTTTTGGTCTTAGAGTTTATATATCTTCAGAAATTCTTTGGGTTGTGTCTATAATTCTCGTAATTGGTAGTGGTTTTGTTTCTACAGTATTTGTTCCATGTCTTTCTTTTGATTTTAAGGGCGTTTATAACATCTCTGCTAAACCATAGCTTGTTACTTTTTCTGTTTGGTAGATTTCGGGTTTTTGGTACATACTGTGTGATCAAGGAATCAAAGATGTTTTTGAAGTAGGTCCATTTTTCGCATGTTGTTGTTAGGTTCATCATTTCATTCCAGTTGATTTTACCTGTAGTAATTCTCATTTGATCATAGTTACCAGCATAGTATCTATATCTAGTTTGGGAAGGGTTGTCTATTGATGCTTTAGTCTTCATGTCAAAAATAAACACCATGTGGTCACTTTTACCTAGGGGAGGGTGGCTTACTACATTGTGGATATCATCTTCATTCTTGGAAAAAACTAAATCAAGAATTGAGGGTCTTTCGTTGTTTCTGATTCTGGTAGGTTCGGTAATATGTTGGTAGAGGAAATTGTCTTGTATACATTTTAAGAACTTGTAGGTAGTGGATCTGGGTTGACAGGATGTGGATTCATCAGACTAGTTGATGTCTCGGTAGTTAAAATCTCCCAGTAATAGTAAATTATTATATTTATCACAGGCGTCAGTTATTAATGTGTTTAGCTTTGAGGAAATTTCTGGGCTGCTGTGGGGACTTCTATAGAGGCATCCAATTACCAGAGGGTCGTCGTTGGCTACGCTGATCTTGCACCATACCATTTCTTCAAACTCTGTATTGTCAAAGTCATCTACCCTATCCGCGTTCAGTTTGGTCTTTGTGTACAGTAGAACTCCTCTGCCATGAGTTAATCTGTTGTAATGTACATCATAGTTGTCTAGTTTGAATTCGACTTCATCCAATTCCCCTTTGTTAAACTTTGGCAGGACTTCAGTTAAGGCAATGACATCAGCTTCTGTTTCATTAATCAATACATCTAGTTCCAATCGTTTGTTAAAAAGGCTGTCGACATTGGTATATACAATTTTAAGCTCGTCGGTATCTGTGTTATGTACATGTGTGTGCTGAATAAAACTAGTTTCTCATTTTTGGTAGACTTCATCCATAATATAGCTTTCACTGTATATCATGGTCTCTTCATCTGTATTTACTGAATCATTATTAAGGTCCCCACTGTAAGAAATCAGTCTCTTTCTCTCCTGCATAATGGGATGTTTATTTTTACTTCTGGTAGCCAGTGGTGTGCTTGTTGTAGAGGGATAACTCAAGGATGGAGTTTGTATGATACGCTTTGGGAGTTGTATGGGATTCTGTACTTCTTCTGTGGGTCTTGCAGATCGCGCCTCACGTTAGTTTGCATACACAATCTTTCCGCCTCTGATCATGACATTTTCTCCAGTTTCGAGTCTTCTAGTTAATTCACTTCTTAGTTTCTTATAGTCATCACGCTGCTTAGGAGTATAGTCCCTTGACAGTGTTACATTGTTGTACAATCGGTCTTTACTTAAGATGTCCCTTCTATTACGATAGCCATTGAAGATTTCTCTTCGTTCTTTTGAGCTGTTTAGAATAACTTTGATCGGTCTAGTGGTTTGTAGCTGGTTTTCCGACTCTAATAACTGTTGTCAATTTGATATCTTTTAAACCTATAACAGATAAAAATTCAGTCAGTTTTTCAGTATCATATAGTTTCCTGTATTCAGGATTGTTAGCATTTGATTCTGGAATGTTGAATACCATCATATTGTTCTCCCTTCTCCTTTGCTCATCTTTTTCTTCCATCTGCTGCTGGACAAGAATTGTTACATGTGAATCAATATCCTGATTCAGATCAGATGTGACTTTCTCTCTCAATTTCTTAACTTCTGAACTTATCAACTGGGGAACACTCTGTTCTATTCTATCTATCTTTTCTTCAATGAATCTCAATTTCTCTTTGTTGTCATTTTCAATTTCAATTAGAAAAGTGCAGTGATTAGTTTTTTGAATGTACCATTAGGTGATGATGTCTCTGAAAACAAATCAAGAATTTATAATGAAGACTAAAATACTTAGTTTGATATATTTCATTTGTTTGATATTCGATTTAATATCTAAATGACATTTAGAAGTAGATAGAACATTAAATAAATATCCATAATAGTGTTCTTATTCATTTGATATATATATTTCATTTGTTTATAGATATAACAAACTCTGCAGTATGCTTTAATAATAAACATTAAAACTAATATGGCGTATAATAGACAAGAATCCAGAATGACAACTGCAAGTGCTCCAGCAGCCCCAGTAGACTCTGGTCATGATGGTGGGAAACTCAACAGGTTTAAACGGTAAGAATAAAATAAACTTTTCTTTCCTTTTATCTATGAAAAACAATTGCACTTGAGTTTTTTGGAAAAAGGAAGACCAATTCTATGAATAAGTTTTAATAACTTTAAAGAGCGCTCTAAAATCAGGGATTTATTTGAAAGAATGAAATAAAGCTTTGTATCGTTATGGCCAACAAATATAATTGTAGTAATTTGCTACAAATGAACCATTACCAATAGAAAATATGCAAATAAGATTTTCTAATTTTGATTTTAGATACATGAAAACCAGTGTAGCAGATTTTTTTGGTTTGGGAGAAGAAGATGAAGTAAAATTAACTCAGTGGCAGAATAGAAGAAAACGTTATGCTGGAGCTGTGGGTAGATTAAAAGATGAATATTTTAAAGATGAAGACAGTACAGATGGAATGATCTCAACATCTAATGCTAGAATGATCTATGACCCACTAAGAGTGCCTGGGGGTAGGATGAGTGAATCTGACCGTATGTCTATGAGAACACCTATGTCTAGTACCAGTACTTATATAACTCATGGTGGTATAAAACAACGAAGAAGGAAGGATTCTGTTATGAGAATGACATGGAAAGGATTAGCTACCCTAGCTGTAAGTGCTTGCTTTGATAGAAAAAACTCGGCTAGCTAGAAGGGTTCTTACTCTGTTGTGACATTCTTTTTTAGGCAGATGCCAGAAATAGTTTTTAATATCTGCATATAGGTTTGTGAATCTGAATAAGAGAAAAGTTTTGTTTAGCAACTAGAGATGAAACACTGTCATGAGTTAATGTAAAGAAGACAAGAATTTTCAATAATGTCAAAACCACTTTAACTACATTTTTAGCTTTTGCATTATTTATTCACTTTACTCTTCCAAGTTAAAAGTCATTAATTATAGATCTATGTACTATATATTAATACCACAATCTAGAATCTATCTCAAAATGTTACCTTGTACTTACCTTTCATATTATAGGGAAGCAGGAAAAAACTTAGAGCTAAACAAAGTGTAAAAGGTATAAGAAGTTTTAGACCAGGTAGTTTAACTGGTGAAGTAGGGGATGAAGATATTGATGCCAATGGTTATACAGTACCACCAACTGTAGGTCACATTTCCATTATGTAATCTCTGAATATAAGTGATATGATTCAACAGTCAACATAATGTAAAAAATAGCTTGTATTTGAACATAAATATTGACTCATTAGACTCTTTTAATGTCTACATCATTGATAATTATAGCTCATGACCTTAGGCTTTTGGATTGCAAATGAGATACATATAAGATGTTTTTCTGTATTTTGTAAATACAATGGTATCATTTGTCAATATAATATAATCATTCTTTATGAAAAGAATTTTTTTTCCCAATTCACTATGACAATATTTTCTAGCCTCAGACTGGTGATGACTTTAGTCTAGTTGATGATGTATTTTATGATGATTATGATGCTCAACAACCAGATCCTAAATTAGATAAAATAAGAGAAGAATCAGATAGAAGTAGAGGTAGTTGGTATGATATCAACTTTTTCAAATTTTTGTTTTGGACTAGAAATTTTTTATGATCAACCTAAAAAATATAAAGAGGTTTGGATTTAAAATTTAATGACAAAGATTTTCATTTAATCTGTTACAGGAAAGAATATATCTATTGGATTATATTCATTTTTGAAAGTCATTTGTGCTTGATTAATGAGTGAAAGTTCATGCCCACCATTTCACAAAATAAAATCTCTTAATAAAATTGTTCCTAAATAACGTATAGCAGATAATGATTTTATGATTTTTGGTTATGTAAGGCATGTTTAATAATTATCTTACTAAACTTAGTATGGTATATTGCAGTGGTCCTGTATCCCCTGGTAAACCTGAATCTGGTCCTGCTGCTGGATGGAGAAGAACACCACCACAAGCCTTACCTGATACCCCAGCTGTTGATATGGTAGATGGTATAGATTTTGTGGCTTTAAAGAAAATAACAAACCAAGTATTTAACTCGGCATTAGAGAAACATAAAAGAACAGTAGGACAAGGTGTTATAGGAAAATTTTTTCGTCGTAGTTTACGTAGTGATCGAGTCACTAGAGATGTCAAGAAACAAATTGATGACATGGATGATCACAGGTTGGTTAAGCAAAAAAATAGATATAATTTATGCAAAACTAGGCATCAACAATAGAAAATTTTTGTCGAAGCTATTGGTCTGATATTTTATATATTAGAATATTTGTATTATCTCCAAAAGAAGATTTAGGTACATTAAAGTAAGATATTCCAAATCTCAGCATGGAATCACTGTATCAAGTATTAGGTTTTATTATGTCCATGTTATATTTCAGGCCATATTTTACGTGGTGGGTCACATTTTGCCAAATTGTAATATTCCTTGCATCAGTATCAGTATATGGTATAGCACCAATTGGTATTGGTGTTAAAGATTATTATGATACTGTAAGTATGATTTCTATCTATGCTTTATATACAAATTATTATTTCTAGTCTTCATTCTAGTGTTTCAAATGGACTTTTTTGTATCTGATATACCAGATTATTAAATAGCTTTTTATATCGATTAAAACCCTATAAAGTACAAATACATTCATTCATTATAACCACCAGTTTTAGACCATTAATCAACCCATCATTCATTTCAGGTGACTATGTCCAATCTTGCAAACCAAAGAATAGCTCATAGAGAAAGAGAAAATCTCTGGCTTGGTCCACGACAGGTGAGGGCACTATAATAGGGTTAATTTTTCATTTAAATACTTGTGATGATATAATAATATTGTTCCTATATATATATCATATTCAGTCAATACTTTTTGAAATGAGAGCATGATACTCTATCACATTCATAATCATATATCATTATGTGTGAGCTTGTAATATGTAAGTTATGTCATTTGGAAATACAGTATACTCTCTGAATCCGACATATACTGGGACCGTAAAACAATTTCGGATTAGCGAGAGTGTCTGAGTACAAGTTTCGACATTTTTTAACATGTGCCACATGTTACTATTTATAGCTCAGTGACCCACATTCTACAGACGGTACCATTCTAATAATAAGACAATAATAAAAGACAATTCAGTTGTATATGTTACTATTATTTAATTGTTCATATTCTAAGCTATTGTACATAGACTTTTTTTTTATTCTTCTTTGCGTTTTAAAATGCTGCTTATTGTTGTTCGTAAACCAAATTCCATAGCAAAATATTTCTACGAAGAGCGCGGCACTTTTTCATAATCTTATAAATTAATTTGAATAATTTGCTTTTTCATATCTAGAGACAAAGCAGTATGGGCATGCTGTGCAGGACGAAAATTGCTAGCTTGGGAATTTTGATAAAATGTGAAACAAAGAATGGTCAAGTTGCATATTTCTGTTCTATACGGTGTAATGAATGATACAAGTACCCATGCCATTTGATCTAAAGGCAATGACCTTGATCTTGAAGCGAGGTCATTAGCGGTGATTAATCAGAACAATTTAGTTCAGCGATCTTTTATTTTCTTGTGATTTGAATTGATCCGAATTATCAAAAATTATCAATTAAATAAGTGATTATCTAATTGGTGTTAAGTGATGAGTAGATGTCTGATTATACAGATTTTTTTTGAGTATCGGGACCACTGATTAGCATCGTAATTGGAATACACAGAGTGTCGGAGCACTCACAGTTTTTTAAATTAGCCTAAGAAGGAAATCAATGGGGACCAGAAAATGATGTCAGATTACACAGAATGTCGGAATACTCAGATGTCGGATATCACAGAGTACACTGTATTTCTATCCTGACTTAAATTGCCAAATGTTCTCCATGAAATAATATTTCTTTTTGATGTCTTAGGCTGATCTCATACATCTAGGAGCTAAATATACACCCTGTATGAGATTTGATAGGAATTTAGATGCAGCACTAGAACTAGATAGAGAACAAGAAAGGAACTCGGGGTGTTGTGTTAGAAATGATGGGTCTGGATGTGCTCAAATGACTAAAAGTCGCTGCTCAGTAAGTTGATTTTATTTCATTGTTTAAAATTATTTCAGGTGGCACAAAAAAATAAGTCAAATAACTAATAACTGAAGATATTAAATCATTATGTAAGAAATTTCATACAGATTTTATCTGTTGTTGGGAATATTTCAACATTAAATCTTTTGCCAAAAAAGATCGTCAATCTAAGATCATTAATGATGATATTTTTGTTTTTCAGACCATTTTGTCAACATTTGAAAAGTGGAGTGAAGATTCTCCTGGTCCTGGTGGTAGAGTTTCAGGTTCAGTTTGTGGTCTAGATCCAAGATATTGTGAAAAACCTTCATCAGTAGCACCATTTGAATGGGATCAAGATATTATTAAGTGGCCGGTATGTAAACTTATATGTTCTGATTTCTACTTGCCTAACTACAACAATTGTACTAAGATGTGATGTTATTGAATGAATCAGTTGATGCATTACAGAAAACTTTATGATCATTAATGAAACGTTAGAATAGACATTATTTATATTTGAATGCATCCCTTGATACGTTTCATTTTAATTTCTAGAAGTATATTAATGAGTGCTACAGATTAAAGTTTAGCATTTGGCTCGATTAAAAATCAAGTGCAGTCAACTTTATTTATAGTAGAACAAATGATATTGAAATTAGTATAGAAGTAAGGCATCCAATTTGCTCATCACTACCAAAAAATATTGTGGACTGTTTGTGCTTTTAACATATAAATCAAATTTTTGTTAAAACTAATTGTCTAGGTGGAAACTACCTGTGTACTTGAACTTGTTTGTTTTAGATAATTTACATGATGGGTGAATATGATTATGTTATGTTTTTCTAGATATGTGAAACATCTAATATACCAAATAGATCTCTGGCCAGTCCTGATGATCGACATATGACATGTGAATTAGTGGGTCATCCATGTTGTCATGGTATACAGGGTGAATGTATGATAACAACTAGAGAACATTGTGATTTAATACGTGGGTACTATCATGATGATAAGTATCTCTGTGCACAGGTATGTCTCTATTATCATATCTATAGACTATTGAGTGTGGTGAGTCAAATGATAATGTTCACAGGATATAGATTTATTGAAATTTACTGATCAATTTCTAAAACATAAGAATTTTTTTTATCTATAACATAATTTAATGTCATGTTTATTTTTTTTTATAACATAGAACATAATTGAATAACGGGGTATGTTTATTTCATTTATATAAATAATTATATATGTAGGTTGATTGCATGAGTCAGATATGTGGTATGATAACATTTTATACTGAAGGTTTACCAGATCAGTTCTACAGATTGTGGACTTCATTATTTCTACATGGAGGGTAAGAATTATATCCTTAATAGATAAAAGAAAAAGATTCAATCTTAAGATAGGATCAATATTCATATCAAAGTCCTTAACACATCATAGGTGTTAATGTAGATCAAAATTGCTTTTGGCCTGTTAGCTTTTTCCTGCTATTTTGAGCTAACATTGAATACATTGTGAATTATATATATATATATAGATACTAGTCAAGATTTTAGTGCAAATGCATATACACATTATGAGATCTTACGTTCAAACTTTTATGATTTTCAGATTATTTCATCTGATTATAACAGTAATATTTCAATGGTTTGTAATGAGAGATATGGAGAAGTTATCAGGAGCTTTAAGAATGGCCATTATATATTTAGGTAGTGGTATAGGGGGTAACCTAGCTAGTTGTATATTTTTACCCTATCAAGTAGAGGTAAGGATAACGTTTTTTTAGTCAAGCAGGGTAGGCTGAACATTGTCAATTATACAAGTATACATAAATTACTCTTGGGTATGAAGGTTTTCGTAGTATAATCAAAATTATATCTTATATATTTATTTTCTATAACTTGTATAAAAGATTTCAGTAACATGTCTATATCATAAGACAACATTTATCTGGAGCTTTACATTTTAAACTGATCAGACATAGATTATTATAGTGTTGAAATTTTGTGTACTTTCAGGCTGGACCTTCAGGATCACAGTTCGGTATTTTAGCTTGTTTATTAGTAGAAGTATTTCAGAGTTGGCAGATGTACAGACGACCATTTATAGCAGTTCTAAAACTTGCCATTCCAATCTTTATACTGTTTATACTTGGACTATTACCCTGGTTTGATAACTGGGCACATTTATTTGGATTTATGTTTGGCTTATTAATAGCCTTTGCTTTTATGCCTTATCTCAAATTTGGACTAATTGATAGAAGACGCAAAATAATTGGTATAATAGTTTCACTATGTTTATCATTAGCTCTCTATATCATATTAATTCTAGTGATGTATGTGATGCCAGTACGTGACTGTGAACTTTGTCAGTATTTTAACTGCATTCCATTTACATCTGATTTTTGTGAAAATATGGGTGTGTCAATTAAGAGAAACTCAACCTACAATTCATTTTAATCAAACCTCAATTTGTACATCTTTGTTATTTTGTTGTTTGTTTGTTGGTTTTTAATACTCAATGATTATTATGACATATTTTATCAATGCTACAAATAATTTTACTCAGTAACATGTGTTCACACTCAAGATGTTCAAATTAATTTCAGATAAAGTGCTCAATATTTATTATTGTCTATAGAAATCTCAAATAATATAAAAAGAGTCCATCTCTTAATCAAATCATTTCAATCAAAAAGCTTTTAAAACCTTTGTGAAATCATCAGAGTTTTAGTTTGCTGATAAATGTTGCAGTAAAAAATCCTATTCATGACTCAACAAAGAATCACATTGTTTATATTAGCAATAAGAATAAGGGACAATTATGTACAATTTTTCATCACTTAGTGGATTCTCTCAATAAATGCCAACATCTTGTAAAACTTCTAAATTTAAAAAGCATTTATTGTCAATTCTTGAATTCTTGAAGATTTTTATGAAAATTGGAATATATTTTGAATTGATTTAGCATAATCATTGTAGTCTTTGATTTAAGATACTTAATGTTGATTAGGGAGTTATTTCTATAGAGTATTATAATTTATTATACTAACTAGGCAGTATTAGTAATCTATGTCATTGTTTCATATGTACATACACTGCTTGTAAACTGTTGTTATCAAACAGATTTCTTGTCCTATTGTAATCTGCTTTTGCTATCAAATGATTCTGTGATAATTTTTGTAAATATATATTTTTACAAGGATCATGACTGCAGTTGAACAGTCTTATGTAATTAAGGCATCCCGTAGACTATCATCAGGCAGCGGCAATTTAATCTAAATGTAATGCCAGAATTTGGTAGCTGAAAAATTTATAGCAAGTAGCACTTGAAAGAATCATACTAAGATCTTAGGTTTTCCTGATGAAAACCAAGTAAGATCAAATTTCCATTTTTATGCATTGTGCTGATAGAGCAAAGTGCCTTTCAATGAAAATTCCTCTGAGTAATATAAAGCATCATTCTGATAATTGATCTTATGGGATATATATACAGTATAATTATATATAATGTTCACTTTTAAGAATTGATAGTGTCTGTGTTGATTAGCTTCTATATTTATTTCATCATTGATTTTTTTTTCTATCCTATTTATTTAGATGCTATTTACCTTTTGGATCACTAATTTTTGAGAACTTTTGTGGTTTTTTTTATAAATTTGTAGATCTACTATAAATTTTTATTGAAAAAAAGTAATGAACTTTCCGTCTTCAAGTTTTTATCTTGAGTGAATTGGTCAGATTTCAAGATAAAATCAATTGTCACGTATGGATGAATTTCTTGGAATTCACCACACAAAAAGCCAGTGGAAGTACTAGATGGGATACAAAAGGGGCATTTTGTTCATCAGGAAATATATAGTTTGTAGGCCTACCCCTAATTGATTCTCCACTTTCCGCATTTATTATCAAAAGTTTCAAATATGTTTTTTTTATACTTTTTTGCCCCAAATATGTGGCTGATTGTACCACACCAAATCTTCTTAATTTTTCAAATTTTTATTGCACTTTTGCATTTGAAATCTTGATCCTGGCAGTTGTCCCTATTAATTTAATCTTCCTCCTAGGTTTATTTCTACCCCCAGTTCTAGGAGGCTGGTGTGCCACTGAAAGGGACATGAAAAGTAGTGTATTCTAGATATGTTGCAATGAAAACTGGAATGGTGCAAATAGAAATTAATTGAGTCTCTGATGCTGTTCATTGACATATCCATTGCAACAGGTCTATTTTGAAAGTAGTTCCAATCAAACATTAAATTTCAACATAATAATTTTGCACTGAAGAGTGCCAAGTGTATGAATTAAACCTTAGATTAAATAGAAGAAACCGAAAAAGAACCTTAAAATATTGCGAGGCTACTTGATTAATTTATGCATTCAATAAATTCCACATAACTTTACAACGAGCTATTTATATCGGTCTGTAAGCATTTTATTATCTCCCCTTGCCAAGATCTTCATTAGTAAGCACGAAGAGTGCAAAAACTGTCTTACTTCCGTTTGTATGAGAAATAAATATTCACGTGTAAATTGATATATTTATATCAAATACACCTGTTTTTCTCTAAAACCCTTTTTATTAGTCAAGAAAAGAGGATCTTCTATGACGATACTTTCTTATATAAAACATTCGATTCAGAATGATCTACTTTCAGACAACCTGATACAGTATGTGAATCGCATTCTGCCACTCTAGATCTATCCCAGGTAGGGAGAGAGCTTCTTCTATTCTAGTGAAAATTTAAGAAACTTTGTATTGCCATGGACCTGAGAACACTCCAAAAAAAGAGTAAAAGTTTGACCTGTAACATTGTTTGGGTTGGTAATTTCAAAGAATACAAAACAGTAACATGTCAAAACGGTAAAAAATTGTAATAGTCAAAACAGCAACAGATCTGCCAAAACAGTAACAAGATATTTAGTTTAAAACGGTAACAGATCTGCCAAGACGATATCACAATGGTGAATAAAATGTACTGTAAAATCTTTATATTTTCGAACATCTGCGACCTCGCGTGACCTCCGCATTTGCTTGTTTTGATAATCATGTGTTGCTAGAATGTAGTCCAACGAATGAAGCAGATTCCGTGTCAGCAGAAAATTTCTATGGAACACAAAGTGGGCCATATTCTTATGTTGTTTAGTGACTTTTAGAAATAAATCATGCTACGTATCTTATTTTGTCATTCACTATTTTTTTTTAAATCGTGGTTCTTTGAAGGAATTGTCACTAGTTATAATGAATTGATGTTAAAGATAAATACTAAGGGAAGTCAATTATACCACCCGGTATCCATACAACGTGTTTTTCGCGACTTATTTATAGATAAAACATTGTACACGAGAATAGGTGACGCATTCTGCCGCCGTTGCCGAGGGATTCATAAAGAAAATCGAAACAAATTTTAATTATTTTGTAGAATATCTGAGGAAACATCTAAGACATAGAAGAAAAAATTAGGTTTTTTTAACTTTGACGAAATTCGGTGTTAAATCCTTATATGCACGAAAATAGGTTACACCACTGTAATGTAATCAATGATATAATGGAAAGTTGACATTTTGAATATTTCAGAGAATATGTCATTGTTAAATTTATGATCAGTATATATACCTAACTGGGACGAAGCTTGGTATGTCGGTAGATTTCTTTTAATTAACAAAAGAATGACTTAAGCTTGATTTGTCAGTATATTACTCAAATCAATAATTGCTTTGATAATATTTAAAATGTTTTCTGCCGACTTGAAATCTGCTAGTTGATCATGTGACTTCATTCGTTGGACTACATTCTAGCAGACGACACTTGGAATTCCAATTACAGCTTTGGATTATAAGGAAATTCAGCCGATAAAAAATTGTGTTGTTTGGTAATAACTGAAATCCGTTTTGTATTTGTCGAAGTATACATTAATACATTTTACATTGCTTGAAACTACTGAATTCATTCTACTAGCTGACAGTGTACAAATAACCCATGTTTATCAAAACAAGCAAATGCGGAAGTCAGGCGAGGTCGAACATGTAAATTATTTCCGGAAATGCACGAAAATAGGTTAGCATGAAATTAGGTTTCTTGACTGTAATTAGAAGTTGATTTTGTAAATAATATTAAAAATATATTTGATATCAATCTACTTCTAAATGTCATTCAAGGAACAAAATGTGATTCTTTAAACTGTTGTTGGGTAGTAGGTGTTCTATTCTGCATATGTTTACATTTCAAACTCCCCCTTGGTGTATTAGGCTACATCTGACCCTGAGCCTTCTTGATGCAATAAATATCCATACTTATGGATTTTTGTATTCATATTTCAGATATATGACAGAACAATGAATTAAAAACAAGGGCTCAATGCTTGGTGAAGTTAAAATGGAAGATAATTTGATAAACCACTATGATATTGAGAGTTTATGCGATTCTGACAGGGAAGAATTAGAACATGCTCTGTATAGTCAAATTCATTATGATACTGGTGATAAATCTATAGATTATACTAATTATGTTTATAGCCCTAGCTTTATTTCAACTTCAACACCTCAAGTTTCTCTCAAGACAGATGAACATGGATTGTTAGCTGGTACTTTGAATAATGAAAACTGTAAAATTGAAAAGAAAGCAAAAGGAAGTCCAAAACATTTAAAGACAGATAATGAGTTCATCTTGAATCACACAGCAAAAGATTGTAAGAACTCTCCAAAATCCTCAAATGAAAAGAAACATGTATCATCGGACCTTAAATCTAAGACTTTAAAACAAAAGCTAAGTGAATCAACTGTAAGTTCCAATAATATAAATATTAAAAACTCCAAACAAAAGAGAGTTAAGTTGAGAAATGATATGTCAGATGAGGATGAAAAGAGAGAATCCAAATATAAATTATATAGCTTACATAATAGGACTAAACCATCACACACTGCAACCGTTATTATAGATAGTGATTTAGAAAATACCGGTAGTGATAATAGTTCAGTTTTAACTATATCTGATAGTGATATGAGTGATTCAGACAGTTCTAGTATGTGTAGTAAAATATTTACCAAGGATTCTAAACTGCCTGATATACAATTGAATATAGATAATGATAATAGTGATAATGGTAATGATGATATTGATGATATATTATCTGTTGCAGATCACAGTAGTTCAGATGGTGAGTGTTTTTATTATAAATTGTGAAGAGCATTGAGATAATTATTTTATATTGAGTGTCTTATAAATTTGATATAAACTGGGCTATGAAATATATGTGAAAATTTCACATATTTGCACACAAATTTACAAGTTTAATGATATGTTTAGCTTTGAAATAATTTAAAGGAAAAGCTCTCTTATTTTTGCTTTTGTTGTTTTATTGTAGTTTATAATCTCAAATTAAAATTTTTTATGTACAGTACTGCAATGATAAAAAATGTTTCAAAGTATCATTTGTTTTGTATTTGACTATTGTCTCAAAAAAGGCGAAACTAATTAAAAATGTGCATTGTTGTATATTTAAGAGTATACCCATTACCCAGTGTATATATATTTCTTTCTAGAAGATGATGAAGATGAAAAATGGCATGTTAGTGAACAAGATATTTTAGGATCTCAGCCAGAAATATTTAGATATTATAAATATGATGCTGTGAAAAATGTCAGGTGCAAAAATTGTCGAGAAAAGGGTCATTTATCAAGAGATTGTCCGAAACCAAAGGTAATATTAAGCTAAGATTGTGCAGCTTGTTTTCTTGATCAATCAATATTAATAATTCTACTATCAATTAGGTGACCAGGATATCTTGTTTCTTTTTTTATCATATTAATGTTTACTGTATTAGATAAATCTGTGAAGACTTCATGACATGCCACATGCTCATCTGAATGGTAACTATATCATTATAGAATGTGATATATTATTATGTCTTTTTATGGCACATGTAAGGATGTTATTTTGAATTTGTGATGCCATTAATTAAAAAAGCAGAAAAGGTGGTCATGTTTGTTACCTGATTCTTTTATTTTATATACTAGGTTATAGTATGTTATTTATGTCTGTTATTTTATAGAAGAAAACACATTAAAACAGAACTTTTTTAGGTTCTGTTTTAATATTTCTATATCGCTCTACAATTGATGTATTGAGAACTATTTGAAAGATTTTTGTTATTGTCTGTTATTTTATATATGAGATTATAGTATCATATTATCTATATCTGTTATTTGATATTTTAGGTTGTAGTATATCTATGTCTGGTATTTGATATTTTAAGTTATAGTATGTTATCTATGTCTGGTATTTGATATTTTAATGATATCTATGTCTGGTATTTGATATTTTAGGTTATAGTATCTTATCTATGTCTGTTATTTGATATTTTAGGTTATAGTATGTTATCTATGTCTGGTATCTGATATTTTAGGTTATAGTATGTTATTTATATCTGGTATTTGATATTTTAGGTTATAGTATGTTATCTATGTCTGGTATTTGATATTTTAATGACATCTATGTCTGGTATTTGATATTTTAGGTTAAAGTATGTTATCTATGTATGTTATCTATGTCTGTTATTTGATATTATAGGTTATAGTATGCTATCTATGTGGTAACAGAAATCATGTATCTACAGCCTGTCCGGAACCATTATGTTACAACTGTTCTCAGCCTGGTCATATATCATCAGAGTGTACACAATCACAATATAAATGGTATATTAAATGTTCTAGATGTGATATGCCTGGACATCAACATGAGGTATATTTATATTCTTAGTTCTAATAGTTTTTATATGCCTACATGGAAATGACCGTCCGTCTGTTTGTCTGTCAGTTCACATTTCTTGTAACCAAGAAAGAGACAACAGTTTTTATACGATCTTATATTGATGAGATCTTGGCCATGTTCGAAATTGGTATTATTTGGATAAACAGTTTCGGAGTCATTGACATTGTCAATTTTAGCTTCTAGATATGACAGATGCTACAGTTTTTACAGACAATAATCAGATAAACAGTCATTGTGTTGATCTTGGTTGAATTTAATGATAATTTGATGAACTGTTTTTGAGGTTTTGGCTTGACTTGATTATTTGAAAATTCATAATTAAGCGACTTAAGACTTTGTTCAGATTACTTACAGCTGGTAGTGGGCATATGTTACCTTGCCTGGCAAGTTATCTTTGAAATAGTATAATATGATAAAGAACACAAAGATACCTATAAATGTACTACAGTCATCATGTATGTATCAAACTCTGTTATGTTCATTGTAAATAACATATTGTTGACATTTATTAGTATTTACCAGCTTAGCAAATAAGAAGCCATACACACACCATATATATTTTATTTACTTACTGTACAGTTGATATTTACAGCAATTACATCACAACTAAATTCTAGAAGTAGGGAATTTTCAAAATTATAATATTAATTTTCTTCTTAACAGTATTGTCCTGATAACTGGAGAAGGTTTCATGTTACAGTAAGTAAATTACTTCTAAAAAATTGTTCAATGTTTATTGTTCAATGAAACAACAAGAAAACAAGTGGCCATAATTACATTGTATTTACAGCACTAAGATATGATATCCATTACTTACATTGTCACGAAGTACCTGGTTATCTAGTCTTATAGAGATAGTTATTTACCACCCTGAAAATACTTCCAATCTCAAGAAATGTTAAAAAACTTTAAACTTTATATTATTATTATTTCAGACTGTAGGAGAACCTAAAGAAGTTAAAGTTAAAATAAATCCTAGAAAATTTTGCTGTAATTGTGGAAGTTATAAACATTTTGGCTATGTAAGAATATATTAAACTATTGAAATTATAAAACATAAGTAACTAGAGCCACACGTGGCACAGAGTGGGACTTTGCAAATGTAGCAAAATGCAAAAGACCCTGAAAAAATCAACCTTCCACGATAATTAGATCAAGCGCAAGAACAGTCTAAAGTTGAGAAATTTTCCTTTTTTGGAAGATTTTAATACCGGAAGTGGACGTCAGACCTCACAAATGAAAGTATCAGCAGATAGCCAAGGTCAATGACCTTTGATCTTGTAAAGGAGAAGGCCTAAAAAGGTCAAGATCAAGAGAAATACGCCATTAAATTTTCAAATTGCTAACGACTAAAACCAGAAGTTGACTTAGGACAGCAAATATAAAAGTATAAATAGATAGCCAATGCCAATGACGTTTGATCCTACAAAGGTCAAGGTCAACAAAGGTCAAGGTCAAAAATTGAAAATTTTGAATTTCCAAAACCTGTTCCTTCTTTTGAACTATGAAGCGGAAACAACCAAAATTCTAAGACAAAGTGGCTCAAAATATGAGGTAATTGTGTAAAAAGTTCCATTTTGAACAAATGTATACTTTGCGAGTTATGCCCCTGGCCAAAAATGTCAATAATGAGTAATTTAACCCGGAAGTGCCACGCCCAACTCAATTTTTTTTGAATAAGTTAATCAATATTCAAAATGTTACGTTATGTTCCAAATGTCAAGTTCCTACATAATAGAGGTCAAAAGATATAGGTCAACAAAAGTCAACAAAGGTCAAAATCGAAAAATGAAAATATCCAAATGTTAAAACCCATTCCTTTTTTGAAACTATAAAGCTGAAACAACTGAGCTGTTAATACATACTGGCCAAAAGGATGAGGTAATTGTGTGCAAAGTCTTTTTTTGAACAAACGCATCCTATGCGAGTTATGCCCCAGCCCCAAAATGTAAACAATTAGTAATTCAACCCGAATGTGCCACGCCCACATAAGTTTTTTTGTCATAGGTGAATTCATATTCAAAGTGTCTAGTTATATTCCAAATATCAAGGTTCTACATCAAATAGATCATAACATATACATACACTAAGCTCAAAAAGTCTCAAATATTGTAAAAAAAAAACTCAAATTTGAAAAAATCATGAATTTCAATTTTGCTTTAAAAAAACGATTGTTATATATCTATGTAAAGTGCATGAGAAGCACATTAGGAAACCGAAAAAATTAACCCTCTAGGTTAATTAGGTCACGTGCTAGAGCAGTCCAAAGTTGCGAATTTGGATGTTTTTGGACAGCTATAAAAGCGAAAGTAGACGTCAGAGGTCAAATATGAAAGCATAAACTAATAGACAACGTCAATGACCTTTGACCCAATAAAGGTCAAGGTCATCAAAGGTCAAGGTCAAAAATTGAAAATTTTGAATTTCCAAAACCTGTTCCTTTTTTAGAACTAAGAAGCGGAAACAACCGAACTTCTAAGACAAAGTGGCTCAATTCATGAGATAATTGTATGCAAAGTTCCATTTTGAACAAACGTATACTTTGCGAGTTATGCTCCTGGCCAAAAATATCAATAATGAGTAATATTACCCGGATGTGCCACGCCCACCTTAATTTTTTTGCATAATTGATATTCCAAATGTTATGTTGTGTTTCAAATTTCAAGCTTCTACATTATTTAAGTCAAAAGATATAGGTCAACAAAGGTCAAAATCGAAAAATGAAAATATCCAAATGTTAAAACCCGTTCCTTTTTTGGAACTATAAAGCTGAAACAACTGAGCTGTTAACACAAACTGGCCAAAAGGATGAGGTAATTGTGTGCAAAGTCCCTTTTTGAACAAACGTATCCTATGCGAGTTATGCCCCAGCCCCAAAATGTAAACAATTAGTAATTCAACCCGGATGTGCCACGCCCACCCCAATTTTTATGCCATAGGTGAATTCATATTCAAAGTGTCTAGTTGTATTCCAAATATCAAGGTTCTCCATAAAATAGGTCATAAGATATACATACACCAAGATCAAAAAGACATAAATATGGTAAAACTAAACTCAAATTTGAAAAAATCACGAATTTCAATTTTGCTTTAAAAAAGCAATTGTTCTATATCTATGTAAAGTGCATGAGAAGAACATTAGGAAACCGAAAAAATTAACCCTCTAGGTTAAATGTCTGGGGTCAAAGGTCAAAGTATCAAATGATAGCCAAGGTCAACGACCTTTGACCCTAAAAAGGTCAAGGTCATCAAAGGTCAAGGTCACGAGATACAAGCCTTCAAAAATTGAAAAAATTCAACCGGAAGTTGCAAAAAAGCAAAAGTCAAATTCAAAAATCCATTTCCAACATTTTTGTCGCCATCGACTAAAGTATACACCAACATAAAAATTTGACCAATCCCATTCTCCCCCGAAGCCCCATTTTGAGTTTTATGAAAAAGTATCAAATCAAGATGGCGGCCGAAGTATTTTTTTCAGACAAAATTTCATTTTAAAATCGGCCATAGAATTAAGATTAATAACGTTATACATAATTTCGTTGAAATATTTCAATCACACCGGAAGTTATTCAACCGGAAGTGACGCAAAAATTTTGAATACGTCAGATGGTTTACATTAGTGACATGCATCTTTTATCAAAATTTCAGATTAATCCGAAAAAAACTGAAAAATGGTCCAAAAATTTCGAAAATCAGCCAAAAAATGTCTGCGACAAATTTTCGAATTTTGAAATTTTGAAACTGCTATTCTTTCAGATTTTAACAGTAGATTCCAAAAATGCAAACCCAAAGAAAATCGACTGAAAAATACGACTTCTAGAGCCGATTATCTATTCTTGCACATATTGAACTGTGGCACTTCCGGTTTTGCAAAAAAGATCCAAAATATATTTATGCACATCGTCGCCTATATCTAAGGTCTGTGAATGTTGAATGAATGCTGCAACTATTGTAGTCTAAGCTCAGGAAGGTGTGTAAAAATCGAAAAAAAAAAAAAAAAGAAAAAAAGAATTGACATTTCAATAACAATAAGTGTATTTATATCAAATATTGAATGGTTGAAGTTTATATTGATTTTTGGTAAAATATATCTATAAATCTGAAATATGTTTATACTGTTTACCTCTTATATACGAGTCATATCAAACATAAACATGAACAATCCACTTTTTTTAGGTAGTTCAAGTAGTAATCAAAGCAATGCAAAGTCAGCCTGTATATTTTATTTTTTGCTTTTCTACCAAAAGATAAAGTGAATCAGCATGTTTATGTTTTGAATTGGACCCAGCTGAGCACAAATATATTTGCTTATCTATACAAAATATAATTTTCTAAAATTCTTATACGCCCACCTCTCACTATGTGGACGTATATTGTCGGCACCCCTGTCCATCAGTCGGTCGGTCCGTCTGTCAACATTTGCTTGTAAACGCTCTAAAAACTAGATTTTTTGATGGAATCAAATGAAATTTGGTATGTGTATACATATTCATAAAACGAAGATCAAGTTCAAATTTGAGCTATTTTCCACCTTTAGAAGCAGAGGTATTGCCCTTGCCCCAAAATTTTGAATATGCTATTACTCTCTTAGTTTTCAACCGATTTTTATAAAACTTAAAATGGATGTTTTGTTTTTATCATCTGCATGCCGTGAAGGGCGTATATGGCTGTGGTCCACAAAATAATTAATGATCTTTGTTATATTTCAGAAATGTAATAAACCACCGATGTCAAGTCATGCCCAGATAACTTATCCTTTTATAGTGTCATATAAACCACCAGTAATTAAAAAACAGAAATTATCAACTAAAAAATACTTCCATGATGATGATCAGGTACTGGAACCAGTGTTTAAAAAGAAGAAAATTCAACTGGTAGGATTTGGTAAGTAGAAATAAAAGAAATCTAGTAAGGCTATCTTGGGCACCAAATTCCTCAAAAGCATATTTGTGTCACTCCATCTTCTTTGTGGATTTTTTAGGGCTTTAGATATGTTTATGGGGGCGGGGCTCCCCTTGCGGAGTGATATAATTAAATGTTTCTTGGCTTCTTGCGATTGATTTAAAAAGATTTTGTAGTAACTCTGTATAAATAACTGACAGTAAATTGATGAGACATTCATGAGTTCAATATTTTTGTACTACAAATCATTTTTTAAAGATCTTGAATAAAAGAAAATTGTATTTTAATAACTAGAGACTCAGCTCATTTATGATAGCTGCCAGTGGGCGTAGGTTACCTTGCCTGGCAAGCTATATTTCTTATCTAGGATCACATCCTAAGCAATTTTAAAGTGAAAGTGAAACAAATTTCCTTTTTTTTTTATGGCCCCTAAATACGCCACTATCATGCCCTTTACTTATACAATATCGTTTCATAATTTACATACATTTTGCAATTAGTGATAAGAATGACAATATTGACAAGAGTTATTAGATTTATTGTATCCTTGGCTGTATCAAATTAATAAAATTAGTATTGTTTATGAAGAACATTTTAGTGCATTATTTTTTGAAATGGCATAAATATTCTGATATGGCTATCCGAATTCGTCTCTGATGTAGGTCAGTATCAAAATTTGACATTAGAATAATATATTCTATTTTAATCCAGTTCCAATATCCAATATCCAATTAATCCATTAAATATGATTTGAAGAATAAATCTCAGATGGATGCTTTAACCTAACATCATAAAAGGTAAAATTTACTAGGCAAATGACCAAGAATCCAATATTTGGAGTCCATTTTTATTTGTCAATATTGGACTTTGTGGCCATTTGCCAGTATCATTATGTTGGATAATGGTATGCCAAGATCAAGGGATGACGTCAAATATGTTTTTTAATAAAGTTTATGATAGTTGGGAAATGTACTAGAAAAAGTGCTTTAGTGGTATTAGAAAATATACTGATACTAAAATGATCATGAAGACTGTATTTGTTAATTTTGAATTCCAATTTTGACCCTTGTATTTCAGATGAAAAGACCAGGAAAGAAAAAAACATGAAAATAAAACCAATGAAAAATATAGAGATGAAATCACCAGATCCATTAAAAAACTTTAAGAAGATTATGAAAGATTATAAAAGTGTGGAAGATAAAGACAATAAAAACAATAAAAAGAAACAAAAAGGTCAAAAGTTGAGAAATATTCGAGAAAAATCAGCTTTTGTGAAATTTGCAAAGAAATCTAATCTTGATGATAAACTATTTCTCTATACTGATAAACATTTAAATAGAAAAAATAAAGTCAACAGTAAAAATAAATTTGAAAAACAAGGCAAGAAGAAGAAAACTAGAAAAGGAAAGAAAGTTATTTAATATATCTGTGATGAACCATTATAATAAATTAATGCTAGAAATATAATGTTTAAGGGTTTGTACTTTATGTGGATGTATTTTGCTGGTGCACGTGTCTGTCAGTTCTCATTTACACCTATCTACTTGATAGGTTTAGATACTATGTATAATATATAAAACATATACATACAAAGCTCAACAATTTTGGCTATGATCAGCCATGTAAGAATGATCAATTATTGCTGCTGAAATTTTTACTGTCAATGTTCTACAGTAAATTATTGGTTAAAGTCTAATCAATTATATTTACACAGTTACCCTCCATTATCAAAATGTAAGAATAAGAAAAGATAATTTTAAACAATAAAAAAAATATATAGTGTTACATAATTTAATACTTTATAAAATTATAAATATGGAAAGACACAAGATATAAACTTAACAATACATTTAAGAACAACACAGAACTTAGTAAGAATAAGATTAGGTGAGAAATATAGCTCATTACTGAAATTATAAAATAATATTTTTGGCTATGATAAGAGTATATATTTAGGATTAGATACAACTAACTAGATTTTGGCACAGATTTGGACATGTAAGAAAAAACTAGAAATATTACACATTCCTTTAATTTTGTATAATAATGCAACATAACTCACTGGCTGTTTTAATATGCATTAAATATCATATGCTTTACTGAGTTAAATATAGTACATTCCTATTGAGTTTTAATACATCACATGAGACGGAGCAAACAAGCAGAGTTGACTTAATGGGTTTTACTAACATACCAGGTTACTTATTGAGTTTGATCATACCAAATTACTCAGAGGTTAAAGGGACAGATGCACCATTTTTTTGACGAATCGTACCTTAGTCTCAGAAATAGAATTTTTTTTAGCTTAGCCAATTAGTAATAGTGTTCACAGCTCATCGTTGAAATTTAAACCTTCAAATCCATGTGAATCCAGAATTATCCATCCACGTTTATTTTGTTTAAAAGTTAAATAGAAAAGTTGTTTTTTCTTGAGACACTATATGGAAAAGACATATATAGAAAAAGAAAAATAAAAAGGAATTGCTAGTTTAAGGTAGTTTTTTTTTTTTGAAGGAATTTTGCAATTTTCGTACATTTCTAGTACATCTCAAAACTATTAACATATATGCATATCCAATGGCCCATCTGTCCCTTTAACTATACCATATTACTATTTTATACCATAACACCAAACCATATTACTTAATCAATTCTACCCATATCAAACACACAAAATATTGATGAATGCATCAAATATTACGGTGATTAAACAAAGAATGAAATTTGAAGATCACATTATATGGTTTAGATAACTTGAACTGTCACTAACTTTCTTCTGTTTCAATGTACTTTTGAATATAACCTCTTATACTGACATACTGCCAACCATCCTACAATACAGGAATGAATTACATTAAACTGCTCAAATTATATAATAGTGGCTCGCTAACCTTGGATTGGATATTGCTTAATTAAAATGATAGAGAAAGAAAAAATAGTTACCCCAATAACTCTGTCCCAACCAGTGCCCATAGGTCTTTCAGTTGTAATTCCTAATCTTTTATATACCATACCAGTACCATGTTTAAACTTACCAAAATTAGGTAAACTAACTATCCATACCTTAAAATAAAATCACATGGCTCTCACAGTGGACAATATAACACAGATTTTTATGGGTAGTATAATACCAAAGTATGTATGTTCAACAATGAGTTCAATCTTTCTACTGGTCACATGTATAACCTACTGTGAAATTAAGAGATCACTCAAAAGCTTACCTCATCATTATGCCCAACTGATACGTGTTTCACTTTATTACAGACGTAACACCATCTAGTACCTTCAGGATATGTAGGTGTTATTTGTTCTCGGTACCATAAATTACCTACAACAACATTACATCTAATTGACACTCTCATTTCACAGAGGCATTTTGAACACAATGAGAAAATTATCAATCATGCTTGTTAATATGAACCTAATGGATTAGCTGTAATAGTCACTAGCTTAAATGGTTTCTTAGCGTCTGGGAAAGGAAATCCGAGACGACAGATATGCACATAAGGTTTTGTTTACAAATCAGAATTATAAAAATTAACTTTGTTTGCGTACTTCTTCGGTTGTTGCCTGGTAAATTTTAAAATTCTTATTTTATAGCTTAAAAGTACTGATTGGAAAATATATTTTGATATAATGCTTTAGAAAAAGTGATAGTAAACAGAAATTCTCTCTATTGACATACATCTAAATGTAAAATCTATCTACACACACTTAAAGAAATAAATAAACTTGTAATACTTTTGTTTTGAATTTCCTATATACTGTACCTTTAGTGTCAACAGCCCAGACTGCTGTTTCACCAACTGATATAAGATGTAATGTAGAACCTTGTGGTGGTGTTGGTATAACTTGTAACCAACATTGACCACTAGGATTAGTACTAGTAACTCCAGGTCGGTAATAAACTGAACCATCAATAGCTATACCCCAAGCTCTATTATTACCACCAATAGATACTGAGGTAAATGGTAAATCTGTTGGTATATCTATCCAATTATCACCCTACAAATAAAAATAGTTACAAATATAGAGAAAAGGGTAGCATCCTAATAGATTCTTGAAGATTGTCCTCAACATAGTGTAAGACAGTAATCTATCAGAAAAACTATTTTTCCCAGAAATTCAATGAAATCAAACTTTTTTCTTGATTACCCTAAAACTCTAATTCCTCGCAATGATAGCTGTTTAACTCAACACATGTTCTCATTTCCCAAGTGAAATCTACAATCAGCACTTTATCTGAAAGTGAAAGCGTTTCATCAAGAAAGGAGAGTATAGTTACCTGATGATTATGAATAGTAACACCAAGTCTACATAAAACATTACCATTACTTCCTACAGCCCAGATTATAACAGGTGAGATAGTTGATGATATAGTATCTAACTGTATAGTTACATCTTTTATATTAGTAGAACCTAGTTTATTCCACGGTCCCACTGTATTTAATTTACACTTTCTGTAACACAAAATATAGTCAGTTATTCTAAACGTTGTCACAAGTAAAATATTTGTCTCAGTGGGGTGGACACTTGCTTGCCATTGTAGAAATGCACACTTCTATCCTGGCAGAGGTGTGAGGGAATGCCATGGAAAAGACAGTTACAGGTGGTTGTATTATGGGTCAATAAGCTAAAGCCCCATGAGTTACAGGCTGGAAAGTTAACCTACATTTCCAATAAAGTTGTCCTATCTTGTTTCTGAAACTTCTGGAAGTGTACTGATATCCCTAATACTGTAATATTTAGCTATATTTACTTACCTAATCCATCTTCTTCTTCTTACACCGTCTCTTAAACCAGGTTGTTGATGAAATGGTCTTAAATAATAACTAGAGCTTTAAACTATATGAAGACTAACCACAATATTGAGACTCATCCCAAAAATGATCTTATCTGTAGTTTTTTAAATTTCAATTTTTACCTCTGTTTTTATTTTGCTCTGAGCTATACACCAATTCAAATATATACAAAAGCATATTTTGCTTGTTTCTTGTTATATTCTGTTATTAATGCTGAAATCTTAACAAAACAAAAGGGTTATTAAATTGGTTTACTTACTTGTTAAAGTTACCTGAATATTGCCACCCTTCTTGATCAACCTGACCACTAAAATCTACACTCCAATCACCAGACTAGAATAAAATAAACAGTTTGTTCACAAGATTTCAAATAACAATTCATTTTGCATAATGTGTTTTTAGAATACTTTGTTGAGCATGAATTTAAGATACACTTTTGGTCCAAGAAATAAAAATAAAATAAAGATATTTACCCAGTGCCAGTTACTAGATGGTAATTTAATACTTTCTTTATTTTTATCTTGAATACCTGTACTATCACTCCATTCATAACAATCAGTTAAAAATCCTCTACAACAATTACAATACCACAATTTTAACACATTGTAACTGCTAAAAAGTAATAGATCATAGGAAAATACTATATATACCAAGTTGTATAGTAGTAGATTATCTAAAATTCCCCCTATTGCCCACTACATTGTGAAACCGAATATTTTAAAACTCCTTTTCCTTTAAAGTTGTATGAGTTGTTTTACTCACTTGTTAGTATAGCCTATAACAGGATACCATTTCTGATTTTCATACGTAGAAATTGTTCGTGTGTCTGTTTGTTGATAACATTCTTTTGACATGGCTGATGTTGCTGGAATATTAAATTCTACTATTGTATTGACAAAATAATTTGAAAAGAAAACTGAATGGGACTCACTGCATTTGAAATCAAGCACAAGATAATTTTAAAGAGCACACAATTTCTCAGGAGACTAAAAGAAGCTCATTAACTCAAAACACAAAAATTTACCTACCAGAAGATAGATTGACATGCATTTACGATTTCACCAGATTAGTTTTAAAAAACTAGAAATGATATTTTTTACAGCCATCACAATTGCTTATCAAACAGAACCCATTTCTAACAGACAGTAGAAAATAACTGAAAAATAACTGACCTACTGCCACATTGATGATCAGACATCTTGTACTTCTAATAAGACAAGACTGGCATATATCTCCCATTAAAGGCCATGTCCTTACCTCTAAATAATCCACCACCATAACCCTGATTATAAACCCAGGTTGTATGATCATAGCCTACAGCCCATGTTATACCATTAACACAAGTTTCAATTCTTTTAAAATGACCACCTTGTTGACACCATAACCTACACAATACATAATATATTACTCATGTAGGTAAAAATTAATTATGGCATGATATGTATGTCAACTTAAAAAGTTGATTTTGATTACAAGGCAATATAAGCTATCTGTATCATTTCTGAGATTCAAAATCAGATGTTTGCTTACAATTAGTAAGTAACAGACATTTTGCTCATATACATGTAAGTGAATTAAATTTAATACGTGTATTTGCAACATTCCTATCATTTGCAATATAATCAGTATTTTAACTCATAAGAAAATAAAACTGATACAGGACAGGAGTCCTTACAGCTAAACAAGACTCACTCAAGTCAAACTGTAATATTGTAGGATGATAATATATTATAGTAAGTGATTTTTCTTGTTCTGATAAATATTACTTACAATGGTTTAAGAGAACTTACATTTCATAAGGTTTAGTATATGTTTTATATGGTTGATGTATAAAAACATCACCACGTAATGTTGTTGAACATATACTATCTTTATCTATCGTTTGTTTTATCTTCCATAAATGACTATTGGCTGTTAGTAGAGTTGAAAGCTATATTTCAATAAAAACATTGAGGTATAATTCAACAGAATCTTTGTATAACAAGATAATGAATGAATGAACTTTATGCAAAGGATTCATTCAATAAATAAATAGTTCCTGTTGAAATCAATACCAAATCCCTTATAATCCACTTTAATACAAAATCAGATCTCAGCTATTCATATCACTAAGTGAAAAATTTCAATCTTACCCACTCATCAGTGTCTGATTCTGAAGAAGTCATTAATAAATAAGGTTGATTTTTACAGGTAGTATCAGCTGTATGTATTTGAAATACAGACTGAGCTGATGGATCAGCTATCCTCTTTATACAAGTGATATCACTAAAACTTATCTGCATATTCTATAATATACATATAAAATATATATAAGGCTATTTTAGTAATCAAAATATGGGGAGGGAACAATAATGACATGGCAACTTGTGTTGAAATGTTGTGTACCCATGTATTAAAGAAGTGTGTTTTATCCCATAATTATTGTCTTGTTTTATATATGTACTCTGCAGTTCTAAATTTCGTTCAAATCTTATAACAATAAGTATAGTCTCTCAGTTTTAACTTATTTCTTCTATGATGACCAAGATTTTTGTTACTCTTGTTGTACATACATAGTATATATACATAGTTTAACATATATTCATTGCCTAAGAAAAAGGTTCCTGAATTTTACATCTTTGGTGTTTAAAGAGATACAAAAAGTACCAAATTACTCCAAAGACGACTTAAGGCCTCAGTTAGCCTGCAATCAATGCCCTCAACATTTTTTTCAGAACCCTTTAGTCTTAATCTTTCATTCTACCAACACTGGCTTGTTTATAAATCTGACTTTCAAACAAGAGTTACTTTCTATATGAGTGAATAAGTAGAACTTAAGAATTACATACAACTGGTTTTCCTCTAGGACAGTAATGTATGGTTATTATACCACTATCATTATCTTGTAAACTATGTTCTAATTCTACTGTAACATCTTCCCATCTATTTCTATATCCATATCTATACCATTTCATACTAGATTTCTTTAACCATGATGACTATAATCATATAAAGTATAAATTACAATGATAGGCAGGAAGGATTGAAGTAAGAAGCAAGGTTGAGATGAGAAGTGTGCAAGAAAATTAACAGTAGATTCTAATTTTTTAAGGCAGTAGAATAGCTCAGTAGGTAAGGAGCTGATTGATGAGGTACTGTGGGTCCTAATCTTTCTCAAAGTAAGACAAATTTCAAGATTCAAGATGGAGTCAGCTTCCAACCCCTAATACTGGCTTGGAGGGCAGATAGTAAAGGTGGTCTTACTGCAAACTTGTAACATTGACACAGAACACTAGTTCTCTTAATTCAATGAGTATATAAAAGGCAATAACCTTAATGTTTGGAGTTGTTCTTATTTGTTTTTTAAGTCTATACTCTGACTGCTTGAATATCTTAAATCTTGTACTAACTATATACTGCACTGACCTTATCTACAGCATTTTCTAAATATTGAAACTGTTGTATTTCTGTTCTGTTTCTCTGATATAATCTTTCTAGTATAACATTTCTAATATACGGTGATATTCTTTTCTTCTTAGAGCCTGTGTCTATACTACTGTCAGAATCTGATAATATGAATAATGTTACTGTTACTACCAATGTAAAAACTTGCATTAATATAGAGAATTATTTATATTAATCAGCTTAAAACATATCAACAATGATAGCTTGCCAGGCAAGTTAATATACGACCACTGGCAGCTTTGATTTTGAATAAAAATATTTGGCAGTACAGTAACAATTACCAGTATGAAATATTGGACCTTCAGTGATACACTTCTTTTGAACTTTTCGGGGCGATAATGAATAATATTACCAAGTTTTGTAAAAATCTGACAAGAATCGTGCCTTATTTTGTATTTACAAGTTAAATATTTAAAGCGTTTACAAAGTCAATAACCCTTATAAACATTTTTCCATTTTAATGAGTTTCGATAGGATTCATACTTTGGTGATAACAAAATTCACAAGCTACAATTAAACGTGTTTTCAAGAACAAGGGCAATGACTCATACTAATTATTTTTCTGATTTTCAATAGGGTTCATTCTTGGGTGATTACAAACACTCACATCAAGTTACGTAAAAATCCATCAAGACATGCGCCTTCTAGAGTGTTTATGAGCATATTTTAAGAACAAGGGCCAGAACTCATATTAAATTTATTCAATTTTTCTTATTTTCTAGGGTTCATCCGATCATACTTGATATGATTGTTGATGAAGTTCATCCTTGGGTTGTAACAAACAATCGTACAAAGTTTCGTCAAAATCAGTTAAGAATTGTGCCTTCTAGAGTGTTTATGAGCAGTTGTTGACGCACAAACAAACCGACGGACTAACACTCTAGAAGGACCAATTCTTGACAGATTTCGTCAAAACTATATTATTCAGTTTCATTCCAAAAAGTTCTGAAGAAGTGTATGACTGAAGGTTGAATGTTTCATACTGGTAATTGTTACTGTACTGCCAAATATTTTTAATCAAAATCAAAGCTGCCAGTGGGCATTTATTACCTTGCCTGACAAGCTGTATTTCTATAATGAATTTAGTTTTACTGCAATTGCAAGAACCACAGACCCCTGACCGAAAATTGGAATGGTACAAATTGATGCTATCTGTGTCCCTGATACAGTATACATAAAAAGTTCAGTGAATCTTCGCGTTTAGTTCAATAAAAGATGACACAGTTCTGGAAGTTATACTGTGATGTTTTGGTTTAAACTAAAACTATACATGGAATGAAACTTACCTCTTCTTGTTTGTAACCATCTTACATTAGTCGGTTCATCAATATAACATCCCATTGCACTAAACCATACCCAGAAATATCTAGGCATAGCAGGAGTAATAGTACACATTGTAAATACCTCATCAGAAGTTTCTGATATATTACTTGTACTAGGATTCATGGTAATTGTTGATTTCAATTCCATACTGTCAATGTTATAAATACCCATACTTTTATGATCTTCTTGACTGAAGACTTCTGAATGAGTAGATTGGTTGTCTAATCCTACATTGTTTTTACTGTCCACTGGAATGATTTCAGTTTCTTGTAAATTGATATGTTGATTTGTTTCATCTTCATCAATATCAGTAACAAAATTAAAAATTTTATCAGTTTCTGAAAGAATACTGTCTTCTCTACTGTACGACACTTCGCTAGTAGTACCATCAGGAATGTCATTATCATTTTTGTAATTCAGTTTATCACTGTTTTGAACTTTTAATTGCACATTTTCTATTAAATCATCACTTTTCATACTAATATCACAATTTTGTTGTCTACTTTTTGATTTTGTAGATTCGCACTCACTTTGGTTTGAAACTTTAATAGTATTCTTGGTTTCAGTTTTAGACTTAGAGAGATCTGGTTTTGAAAGACTAGTAGCTTTTAGTGGTTTGATTGATTTCATGGTATTATTTTTAGAATCTTTGGAATTGGTGATACTGGAGACACTGACAGGTGTACCACGTAATGATACACTACTCTGATAATCAGATGATGTATCTTCATCATCTAATGATTGAAAAGAAGAATCAGCATGACTTAATTTAGACAGATCTTCTCTTAACATTAGTAACTGCCATGTTTTACCACCTAAATCACTAGTATTGACCCCTGATCTAAAATATGGTTTCCTATCATTTAATCCAATACCAAATACCTACAAAACATATTATTCGAAAATCATTTACATATTTCAAATTGTACCATTTATCACATTTATTTTTATCAGTTCTCAGGAATGTGAAATGGAGTTCGAATATGAGAGAAAACAACATCACAATCTGTGTTTTGAAAAGCTTTATAGTGTGTTAATTGTAAAACAGTAACTGAACTACACTCGCCTGGTCGTTTGGTGTGACTGATATATGACATAAAGAACCAACCATTTCTATCCAGCAACTACCAATAGCAGATTGATTATTAAACCAAGCATTATCTCCATTAATTCCCTTTCTAAACCAAATAATACCATCACGACTTAATGCCCATACAGTATTATTACCTACAGCTACTTGCATCATTCTAGTTTCATTAGTAGGATATGGAATCTCACTCCATGATGAACCTAAGTTAAATATAACAGATTAAGACTTATTGTAAAATTAAAATTACAACAAAAATGTGTCTTCTGGAGAATCAAAAAATAAACCAAAAATAAATGCATTGTAGATATGTCAGAACTCATAACCGAAGCAAACAAAATCACAAGCTTTTTTAAAGGGACAGTTGACTGCTAATAACCAATGTGAAATAATTGTACAGTCTTACCATAAACATTATCTCTACTAACACCTAATCTAACTAATACTAAACCATCCCAGGTTACAGCCCAAACTAAACCAGTTGGTCCAACAGATATATTTATAACACTGGTATCATCAGTCGATACTAATCTCCATTTAGTACCTTCTGGACATTCTTCACATACATTCTCTCTTACATACACCTAAATCATAGAATAATAGTCACATAGACCATATCAGCTATATTTAATCCAGAACAAGGCTCATAATGCAAACAAAAAGAGTCACTGCAGTAAAATCGCTTGATGTCTTTAAAGCTTCCTTCTCCAGTCCTAGTATCTCATATTTTACATCATTAAAATCGGAGTTGATTAAGCTATTTAATGATACTTTCAGATAAAGTTTACCATCACACATTTCTGAGAAAGGGCAGTTAAATTTTCTCCCTGTTAATCGGGTGTTCAGTTACGTCATGTAGGCTTTTCATTTCTATGACGTTGCCACCTTATCAATGGATGACGAAATTTGTGTTATGAACCTCTTTTTCAGTGTCTTAAAAACAAGGAGTGAATAAGGTCTATTGAGAAAATATTATGTTACTTATATCACAAACAACATGGTAAAGTTACCATACTCATAACAATTCCTTACTTATAAAATAAGATATAAATTATTATACTTCAGCTTACTAACCTTTCCATTAACTGTTACAGCCCAAATACTAAGAAAGCCTGCTGGTTGTCCTGGTAACTGAAAACCTCCAACACTAACATCTATAAATGTTCCGCCATCTTCCATTTTATCACTATAACTTATCTGCAAATGATAATATACTGAATGTGACTTCTTTTTATGAAACTGGTTTATCCAATACTTGAATATCAGAAGCTTCTACATGAAAAAGTTCCTAATTAAAGTTTCTATACTGTCAAGGCAATATGGTCTACATTGCATAATGCATATTATCATAATCATGCCCATCAACATAAGGCATCTATTACTTTACCTTGGCCCATTTTTCCCTAGCAACATATCTCCTAAACCTGAGCCATTTTCTTCTTCTAACCATTGAAAATGTTTTTGGTTCAGGAGAGTATTGACGTGGAAAGTCTGAGGCATACTGCCAACCCTATAATAAATATGATGTAAAATATTTTCATATTCATAACTTTCATAAATATCACCAAATACTTGCAAGAATAAACTAGAAACAAAGAAATGGCTGATATTAGAATAAAACTAGAAAATACAAACCCCTCGATCAGTAATTTCTCCTTTAAAATTCTCATCAATAAACCAATCCCCCTCCCATTCCCAATACTCAGAAGGTAAAGGAAAGTCATTCCGTGTCATATGTTTATCTCCTGTCTCATTACTCCAACTCTTTCTATCAGATGGTAGCAGATTTTTATGAGTAAAACCACCCCACGGTGACCATCTCTGAAAAAAAAAACAACGACCTTTACTGAAATGAAAAGATAACATAACCTCCATGGAGTGAAATTTCCTAAAACAGTAAGCCTACAATGTTTTCGTTAACCGTTTCACATGTTCTAACAAACTAATGACTATACCATACATTTGATCTTAATTTGCAAACATCTTACCGTTATCACCTCTATTCTTTTGTTTCATACTATCAGAAGCTATTCAATTGAAAATTGAGTTCTAAAACCTTAATTGGAATCAAAATTAGTTTGTGACACTGAAATAAATTTATTGAAATTAAAAACAATACGATACCTGATTTTCAAATGTTGTCTCTGCTACCCTAATGGGTACATCAGATGAATAAATATAAACATAAACATGTTGATCATGACCAATACCCCAACAACCAAACTCAACAGCTGATACTCTTTTTAGCTTTAAACCATCAGTACTTTTTCCGAGCTCTCTAAAATATTTCTTCTCAGTATTAAGAGCGAAAACATCTCCACTACTATTCACTAATAGTAACCTTTGTTTGGTCATATTAGATTACCTGAAAAAAAAAATAGAAATCATGAAAATATCACTGTAACAGCAATACAGCCAGGGGGAATTAAGGAGTCCAATAATTGGAAATTTTATCTCAAGTTCCATCTTTAATATTTGAAACAAATGTCACAATAAGATCAATATGATCCTCTGGTAAATTATAGGTTTCCAATTAATACAACTTATGCCCATGCTATGCATTTTATCTTTATTTATTCTGGTTCTTTTACATTTTTATTTTTAGACATTACTGACACAGTTATTCCATAATAAGGCTCTGACCAGTGCAAGTTTTGTAAGATTAAGCCTACCTATTATTAAGTATTAGCTTCAAATTAAATTGTGTCATTGTGTCACTGTGTCAGTAAGAACTGGATCAGTGGATCGCGTAAAGACAATGGTTTTTTGCGTCTTGCTACAACAGACAGAGAAAGTCCGATCTAAATTGATATGAAGCCTTTTATGTAATATAAAAATGTCACATGACTTCACCACTTACTAAAACAGAAGTGACACCACTGCACTGTTTCATGTCATTAACATACATGATCAGATACTCCGTGTTTAAGGAATCACACACTAAATTGCTATTACACGTGCCATGTTACTTTAAATAATCGTATATCTGATAAATAAACCGAAAATCAAACTTATAAATTAATGGATACAATTTCAGGATATTATTCTCTCATGTAGCCTTATTGTGATATTCAAGTCTATGAAATGGAAGAGGAATAACTCTGATTTCTGCTAATGAGCTCAGTTCGTTTTGTCATAGATGTTTTATAGACTTTCTAGCTAAATATTAAATTCATTGTAGGATGAATTTGTGTGCTATTAGGTAATAATATATGTAAGGGTATTTTATCATTATATTATGAATATCATTAAACATTGATACGTTCTTCTTTGCAAATTGTTTTAGTGAATCTAAGACTTTAGTTTAATTTTTAAAAGGGAAACTTTAAAAAACGAACTGTTCCATTATTTACATTCGAGGTTAAACTGTTCAGGCTTGCTTTTATCATTCAAAAAAAATAAGTCATTGTGATTAATTCAAGAAAACATAAACAGACATGCCACTTGGAATTGACAGAAGTCATTTCCTGGCAGATAAGACAAGAGACTGTGAAAGACAGTTGAGGGTAAGTTACAAAAGTTATAAAAAGGTAATTTTCAGTAAATTTTTTGAAGAGATGGTTCATACGACATAATAATAAAGAGGTGTCTGGAACTGGATTGTTAGTGCCACGCCCACGGTATGAGTTTCTGCACTATTTTGTGAATATTTATAGTATGATTTGAATGATCATAATCCAGTATGATTATCATACTCTAGTAATACTTCAGTCATTCAGACCAGTAAAGCTATATTATTAAAATATCTGAAAAGACTTATTGAATTGTCTGAATGTCTGAGCAAAGTAGAAAGTTTTTTTTTTTAAAATTTTTCCTATTATTTCTATGAGAATTGGAATAGCAGCGTCAACATATTACCATCAGTCTTAGAATGTCTTTGTGTTGAAAGCAGAAGGTTCACAATTTGAACCAGCCAACACGACAGAGTGAGAGTACCTCTACCAGTTGGCTAAGGCAAATAAGTGTTAAGTGAATTAAATCCTCTCATTAAACCTAGAATTGAAATTTTTTGAATTGTCTTTCAAATGATTCTGAATATTGAATGCTAATTAGGCATATTGTTCTTGCCTTTGAATTTTAGAACAGAGATGAACAAATTGCCAGCTTAGAGACTGAAAATGGAATGCTATATCTTAAACTAACGCAGGTTCAGAAAGAACTACAAATGACAAGAGAAGAAAAAACTGTTGTCACTCAAAAGTATAATGAAGAAAAAAAATTCAGAAACCAAGTGTCAACAAAAGCATCTAAATTCAAAGATGAAATTGAAGTAGGTTTATTTTTTGCTGAATAAAAATATTCTTATTTTTCATGCGCTTCAAAGACTCTTGGCACTTGATAATTTCAAGTATCGGTGCGTTACATTATGTAATTTTGGATGTCTTTATAGAATTTAAGAAAAGATTTATCTGGTGTACAATTAGTAGCAGCTAACATGCCTGAACAGTTTAAACAACAATTTCATCATGCTTATTCTATTGTACAACACCATCAATATCTCCACCAATCACAGTCCTCTAGTTTAACAGGTATGTTAATCTAGAAATGATTTATGATTCTAAAATGTCAAATATATTCTTGACACAGAAGCATAATACTGGTATGAAAAATGTAATATGGAAAAAATAAAACAATTTGATTTAAATATAAATCTGAATGGTTTTTCTAAGTACAGTACATCCTTTGCAAGACAAAAGATGATTTATCTGAAATATATGTAAATTCTAAGAGCTGATTTTTGTAATCAATGTTTAATCTATAAATATTCTCAGTGCTACAAGATCAGATATCTCAGTTACAATCAACTCTACAAGATATAACTGATAGACATAGTAAAGAGAAAAAGAGAAGACAAGATCTACATAATTTATTAATGGTAAGTAACTTACATGTATAATCTCTCAATTTTACTTTTGTCACATTGTTGACTTTACTTAACCTTTATATTTGTGGCTTGCTTACTTCAGTTGACTCAACTGTAATTTATGCAAGGATCAATGCCCAGTAGTTTAACTTTTAACAATCAACAAACAGTTTGAAGGCAGGATCCTTGGGAACCTAAGATGTTATCTATTTAACACATGGATGTTTCTATCTTTTATTGTTCTGTTTTACGAATCTCTTGAATTTTACAGGTCCAAAGTTGTCATCCTTATAACATATGGATTTTTCTGTCTTTTTTTGGTTATGTTTTATATTTTTTTACAGAAATCTATGTATTTTCCAGGAATTGAGAGGTAATATTAGAGTACACTGTAGATTACGACCATTAAAAGCATTTGATTGTGGTACAGAAGACCATACAACATTAGGAAAGTAAGCAGATTTCATATATCAGATGTCAAATTTCAATTTAGTGAAATTTACTAATGATTGGCATTAAATTATTTGATTGTATTTTTGTGAAAGTTTGTGGATTTAAATAAGAATTTTGCATATGACCTGAAGCATATTTCAATTTTTTAAATGTGATCATATGTGAATGTTTATTGTGTAGGTGTAGTGTCTATATTCATTTTTCATGCAAGTTTGAGTGCAAAACTTGGTATAAGTGACAATATTTAATTATGTACTGTTGTATTTTCATTGAAGACCTGGTAGTAAATCTGAGATAGTAGCACACTGTTATGATGATGTAAGTTAACACACACAAAGTTTACAATATTCAGTAGAACTAGAACATCCATCCTGTTCAACAGGTCTATTCGGGGAACAAAATGTATGGCATCACAGTTGCGATACAATTTGTAGCAAAATGCGATATTTTTTTCATCAGTAGAGCAGTTAATCAGGCTCGTGCAACCTTAAAAATTTAGACTCAATGTCACGAAAATAAATATGAATGTATTGATCACTTAAAAATTAACATGGAAGATAAGGGGTATAACAAAAGTCATTTTAGAAGAACAAATATAATTAGTGTACATGTAGAGATAGAATCACTGTTGTGGGAAACGCAGTATTACCACTCAATATTATGGTATCTGCGTTGTGCCGACTTGTTTTTTCGTCCGTAGTGCACATTATTTACAAAGATTTACTCAAGAAGAAATTGCTCCACAAAATATAAAACTGTTGTGCAATTTTGACCCATAGAGCAAAAAACTGCTATGCAAATAAATGAAGTCATTTGTACCCTGCTATTTTTGGATTATATTATTATTACTTATTATTATTATTTATTAGTTAGCATGATTATAATATTTCCTCACTTGATATTAAAAAGGTTTAAAGAAAACAGTAATCCAGTTTTGTCAGAAATTCTGTTATGAATAAGTTTTGTTTGATAATGTTTTTATGTTTTGTTTTATAGGAGAATATTTGTGTCAAAACCAGTAAACATAATAAAGTATTTGAATATGAAAGGTATTATTATTTTCTTTTCAAATATTTTATAGATAAATGTTTCTTTATTTCGTAATTTTTTAAGACTTAAATTGTTTGTCACAGACATCTCATCTCACAGAAATGACACAAAAATAAAAACGCCAGTTTCATTAACTGGTTTATTGAAGGGAGTGATAGGAAGATAGAAATATTTATTTGTGAAGATTTTATTGAGTTATTATTAAACTTATGTTACAGAGTATATAATCCATCAGAAAAACAAGATATAGTTTTTGATGAAGTACAACCAATGTTAACATCATTATTAGATGGGTTAGTATATTACATCTTTTTTTATATTAAGACAAACCTTTAGTTTCTTTTTAACTTGGGCTTTTTCTATATATTTGTTTCTTTCATTTTTTTATTTCTGTTTTAGTTATAATGTTTGTATAATGGCGTATGGTCAAACAGGAAGTGGTAAAACACATACAATGTTAGGTAGTCATAGTAATGATGATTATAATCCTAGTGAAACGTTACATCCTGATGAAGGTGTTATACCCCGAGCCACTAGAGAACTATTCAGGTAGGCTAATATAATACATAAGCAATCAATGAAAAATCCAGTTAAACTACAAATCCATTGGTAATACAATGTATCATTCACACCAAGGTTTATATGAGCAATTTCTTGTGTGTCCTTGTCACCATGTGACTTATGATATTTGACATAGTGCTGTTTTATACATAGTAACCAAGTAGGACTGTAAAAACTTTCTTTCTTTTCAAATAGATGATTAGATAGTTAATATCTTATAGAAATATTTTGTTTTCTATATTAGATTAATAGAAGAGAAGCCACCAGGATGTCATACTATAGAAGTATCGGTAGTAGAAATATATAATAATGATATCAGAGATTTATTATCACGTGGTTCTAATATAAAACATGAATTAATAACTGGTTCAGATGGTTTATTAAACTTACCTACTATCACATCCAAGTAAGTTTAGTTAAACTGCTTTAATACTTACCATATCATATACAGTAAAACAAAGCAGTTTTACAAACATCCCAGTACGATGTTCAACATCTGCAGTTTCCACGCTATTTTGAGGTGGAATAAATACTAATGTAGGCAATATAAACCAGCCTTTTATTATCTAATATGAGCATACCAAAGCTGTGGTCAATGTGCTTTGGACTTCATGATATGTATAAATGATCTGATTCTGTAATTTCTTACTGTTCAATGAAATTCATCTGCATCACTCATTGATCCTCCCAGTTTTGAAGTTAGTTAAAAACCAGCATGCAAGGTTTTCAATGATACTTTGGAAAGGGCCAAGGTCAAATTTTTTGGAACAGATCAATCCCTGACTTATTCATACAGTTTTGTAGTTGGATTGTTAGTAAAAGTGAACATTTATTGATATTTTTCAGACAAGTATCAACAGTATATGATGTGATGTGTTTAGTACAGCGCGGTTTACGAACAAGAAGTGAATCGGCAACAATGGTTCATGAACATTCCAGTCGTTCACATTTAATAGTAACATTAACTGTGACTTCAATAGCTCCTTCATTTTTCTCACCCAATAAAACTATGACAGATTCTGAAGGTAAGCATCAATGGAAACATTTGTATGTCTGAAAGAGATTGAAGGCTTTGTTATTGAAACAAATCGTATCAACACGCTTTAACGGCCGATTATCAGCACATGGTAAAAACTAAAATAGCCTTAAATAAATGACCATCTGCATAACCGAGTTGAGTGTTTACTTGTTTACTTCCCAATAATAACAATACACTAATTATTGAACATATTACATCTGCCAATGTAATATAATTTTCTTCAAATCTTTTTCTTTGTTGTTAGAAAATTTCAAATGCTGGTAAAAATATTTGGCCAATTTGGATAAATGTGTATTGTAGGCAAATCGTTATAGGCGTTTCGCTTATATAAATGCACACTTTGATCTGTGTCAATATGATTTGATTAAATAAAAATGCCTTTTGATTATTTATATTTTGCCTTTCTAGGTTTTCAAACTTCAAAGAAGACACCACGGCCTCAATCTCAACCTAATTTATCAGGTGATTGTTTAGGACAGATAACTCCACAAGCTGTTATTAAAACTAAATTACAACTAGTAGATCTAGCTGGCAGTGAATGTGTTGGTAAGGATTGTTTAAACTTCTTGAGACTTACTTTGATGTTTTACATGAATAAAATTCACCCTTTTATAATAATAATACATTAATATGTATTAAGCAAGCACTATACAGTATATGTATATAAAGTATAACAGTGAAAATATTTTGTTATTGTACGTCAGAAAATATATATATATATATATATATTGGTTATTGTGTTTGTGTTCTATAGGTATGTCTGGTGTAAAAGGGGCTGCATTAAGAGAAGCTTCACATATCAATAAAAGTTTATCAGCTCTGGCAGATGTATTAGGTGCTCTAGCTGAACATAGAACACATATACCATATAGAAATAGTCGACTTACACATTTTTTACAAGATTCTATAGGTAAGTCTTTCACATTGCCTAAATTTAGACAGGAAAAGTGCATGAAATATCCGCTAATGTTATCTGGTTCAGCATACTCATGAATTGTCTTTGTGCAAGTAATCACCTGACAGTCTTTTGATTTTATCTAATTCATAATTATAAACTTTGATATGTATTACAGGTGGTGATGCCAAGTTATTAGTTTTATTATGTGTTTCACCAGCAGCAAGATATATCTCAGAATCTCTTCAGTGTTTAGGATTTGGTCAGAGGGCTAGACAGGTTCAGAGAGGACCAGCAAAACGTAGATTACCAACATCAGCTGAAAAAAGCAATGATTTTCCACGCCCAAAATCTACTTCTAGTTTATCTAAATCATAATCCAGCTGGATTATTCCAGGACCAGAAAATGCACTCAAATTACTGTTATTATGGTTCTCTTTCTACTGTTAAAGTGATGTTTTATGTTTTGATGTAAAAAATAACAATGACTGTGATAAATATTTAATATATTGAATAAAATATACTTCATAAACAATAACAACAATTTGTTTGGAATGAATAATTATTGAGCTATTTAACATGAGGCACTTGTACTAATAGGACATGCATAGAATTTCATTTAATGTTTGAATCTATTTCAAATTATTCAGCGATACTTTAAAAACATAGCAGTATAAAAATTAACAAGAGGTACAGACGTAATAAAAAATTTCCCCAAAAAATAAAATTCAGGTATTCATAGGTACAATAAATTGTATTGTAAGAGTATGGTTATAATACATACCGGTATTTTCATGTGTTTTGATTTGTCAAATGATAATATATTGAGGTAGATGTCACATAAATTAATTTAAGATAAAATCAACGTATAAAAACTCAACAATTTTCTCTTGCTAAATATAAAACTTAAAAGAGGTGTGAAGGCTATTAAATACAGTGAAATTAAATTCAACCCCCATGAAAATAACGCAGAGCAATTTAAGCATGAACAGTGTACAGAGGAAAATTATTTGTACAGATCAAGGGACAATTAAAACCATAAACACTAACTTTATTTGTAGGTAGTTAAAGTACTATTCAACATACAAGAATTCAAGTTGATAAAGCTATTTTTCAACCAAAAAAAATAGGCTGGTCATTGGAATCAAACAAGGACATGTATAAATATATTGTTACTTGACTATAACAGCATATATTAATATATTCTAAAAATTAAGTACAAGACTTGGTAAGGTTAATATAAGGTATATTACACAATCCTGATGTCTTTAGACAATTTAACAATCACTTAAACAACTAAAAAGTATGTACAATAAACTGTAATTAAAAAAAAATGAATATGTACTGTCTGACCAAATTGTTTTCAGAAATTCATTTTAACAACCATTTTGAATTGAATTAAAATATCTACTCCAAAATACTACTGAAAATCTTAAGATCGCCTTTGGGTTAATGAAAATACCTACCAATGAAAAAATAGGATTTGAAATATGAATTTACACTGTGGATTTTTCAGTCCGAAATGTGGGTGTAATTTTTGATAAATCACTAAACCTTGTACTTCTATAGACCCACAGACATTCTAAGACAAATAATATGCAATTTATATATTTTGAATATATGTAAAATATGAAAAGAAATCAAATCCTGAAATCATTATGGTCAGAAAGAAGGTACAATTTAATGCTTAATTGGTGGGTAAGAGTTAAAAATTTAATATAAAAATAACAATGCAGACACACACTACCCATAATATTTCTCTCATTCATGTATAAAAATATTAAATATAGACATCTTAAACAATTCTAACTTCTTTCCTTCTCTTTAATAATATCAATAATAATATTATATACTTTTAAAGCTGCATTCTCTCCCCATATAAAATCTAAATGATCATAACTTGCAATTTCATGTTTTGATTGTAATGTTTTTAATTTTGGAAGAAGAGCATTCACATCCTAAAATAAGAAATGAAAATATAAATTAATTTCAACTTTTAATCATCGTGTTTTACTAGATAATTTATTCATGTCTAAAGAGGCCGTATTGTTGGACATAAGGATATATTTATTTTTTTAAGGTTAAGGAATAAATTTTCAATTTTCTGGAACATGTTTCTTTTGGATCTTGTGTAATCATTAATGATCTAAATTAATTTATCTTCCCTTAGTATTCTTGTTATCTCCCTCATCAGATTAAACAAGATAAAAGGAGATGATAAGAATGATAATATAATATCCTACACAGTTCTAAAATATTAGTGTTATTGCTTCCCATAATAGATACATATATATATACCTGTAGATCAGCTAGCCAATCTTCATCACCATATATAACTACTATAGGTGTTTCTTTAATATTACTCACATCATAAATAGGGGGATCTGACTGTAAGATAGATAAAAAATTTGATATTAGTATATTTAGCATCTAGACAGTACTTCAATAGATAAAACTCATATACAATATAATCAACCATTACTATCATAGTACTATCTACACCTGGAGGCTAATGAAGATGGTCAATGCCCCAATGTCCAAAGACCTTCAACTTGCAGTCTTTGACAATTTAAGGCTTAATTTCCCATTTAAACAACACAAAGCCAACAATTTGTAAAACTCTCTAGATTAATGACAAACAGACTTCCACAGTATAATTATCTCATACCTGTACCCCCAATTAAAAAATGTGACCATTAGCACAGGCATTCAGTCTGTGTTTAAAATAAAGGTGACTCAAGAAAGATGACATGACAAAATGCAATCAAAATGAACTGTATCCTGCAGTTCTTTAACACTTTCTTGACTTGTACTGTATTGGATATCTCGTGTCTTACTTTGGACCAAATTCTCACCTGATTATAATGTTTTAAATTCTCATCTACTGATCCATAATTATACATTTTAAATAACCCTGTTCTGTAACCCTAAAATTCAATTGATAAACATCAAAGGTGTGACTTTCTTTAGCATTAACAATGGTATTTTTATCAGTTGAGAGAGATTCAAATCTAATGGCCTAGCAGCTGATAATTCAACTAACGGAAATTTATGCCTTTCTGAACCTGAGATGGGCAACGCACAGTGTGCACAGAAGTAAACTTTGCCTGGATAGCGACTTGAGCCTTTTTTGATTTCCAACTGTCAAGGGATGTTTAAGGTGCATAACCTGTTGCACACAGGGCCTTTATTAATTGTTCAATTCGAATGACAAGACACTTTTTTTAATATCAGCCTTCCTGCATCACTGATTACAAGGTTGAAAAGTCCAAGGGTATTATCTGGAACTTTAAGTTAGTGAGCAAGCTTCAAACTTACTGCAGCTTGACTTCCAATAAAGCACCCAACTAATTGGAATAGTAATTTCATGTACATAAAGGAATATTCTGATTGAACATGATTAATTGCCTGAGAAAACAAGTTTTTACATCCAGTTATACAAGTGAGAATAGTAAAGTATTTACCTGTAAGAAATGTATAATATCTTGAACTGATGATCCAGCAGGTGTATGGTTTAAATATACTGGTAATCTTGTCTATAAATTATACAAAACAGTTTAACTGATGAAATGGTATTTGTATGAATCATTTGGATTTGGTAATAGCTTTATCTGTTATCAATAGGATTTTTCAAAATGTTTAAAGTTACCCATATCAATAAAGAAGTTTTGACATTGAAAACTCTATAAAAAAAAAAAAGACTAATCTTGTGCTATAAGACAGATTAGTTAGATAAAGAAATCCAGAACTGCCATTGTTTGAACATACGGTACTGAATTTATATTTTCAAATCTGTCAGAAAGCAAGACTTACATTGTTTAAATTTTTGGTATCATAGCCTGCTATAAGAAATAATAAGTTAGAGCATAAAAATCTCAATGATTTATCCTCACACACAGTATCAGCTAAAACCTTGATAAGATCTAAATTAGGTAGAAAGTCTTTCCTTCCTAGGACAAAATACAGAGCCTGAAAAAAAAGATTTTTTTTTATTAAGTGGGCCAAAGGACATTCATATATTCAATTTGCTACCTTCCGAATAGTGTGTATCATCTTTAACATTGAGACAAAAATGATGTTGATGTTATGATCTATATAGAATGTGGACTGTAACATAAGTAAAATCACATCCTTTTTATACAGATCTTTGAGACATATTATGTGAACTTTAAACAATGCAAACTAAAATGGCCAACCTCTCTTCAAAAGTAATTAACAGGATTTTCTAAGCTATCTTTGCCAAATATTTGAGAAAATATTTATAAAAATAATAAACACTTTACCTCATCAGGTAAGTCAGACAAATATCTTATTGGACTTTTCATATGGCCTACTGTTGCAACTGGAGCCAGAGCAAAAAATATGTCAATCTGAAAAATTCACAAAAGTCCATTTAATCTCGTAAATAACTCTTAATACTTTTAATACTTTGAGGTAAATTAAACACCATTGATACATGTCCAGAAATATCAAAATGTCACAAATAATAATATAGATCAGGATAAATTAAGAGTTGTACAAATCAAAGTTAAATTTGATTACTCTGTTTTTTCTTATATCTTTCATCTCCTTTATAAGTTAACATGTGTTTTACCACAGACCTGTTCTTATGACATTAATTTTAACCGATTAAAGCATGCCATCATATAGAACCAGCTTTTTGATAACAGTGACAAATGATGGGTTAGCAAAAGTCAACTGTCACTGTGGTAGAAAACTTGTTAGATTACAAAAGACACGAAGGACATCAGAAAAAAAAATGGAATTGTAATCAGATTTTCTTTAGATTTGAGTTGTACGAACAATATTAACACCAACAATACAAAAGATTTCACCTTTTTCTCAAATTCTGGATTTTGTGAAAGATGAGCAAATGCTTGTGTTGTTCCTTGAGAGTGTCCAACATAATATAAGCTAGATTTACCAGACAGCTTTAAGGCATAATCAATCATAGCAGGAAAATCATACCTTCCCATTTCATCCCAGCTGAAATCATAAATAATCATCAATAGCAAGAAAATCATTCGTTCCCATTTCATCCCCGTTGAAATCATAAATAATCATCAATAGCAGGAAAATCATACATTCCCATTTTCCCGGCTGAAATCATAAATAATCATCAATAGCAGGAAAATCATACATTCCTATTTCATCCCAGCTGAAATCATAAATAATCATCAATAGCAGGAAAATCATACATTCCTATTTCATCCCAGATGAAATAATAAATAATCCTCAATAGTGGGAAAATCATACATTCCTATTTCATCCCAGCTGAAATCATAAATAATCATCAATAGCAGGAAAATCATACATTCCTATTTCATCCCAGATGAAATAATAAATAATCCTCAATAGTGGGAAAATCATACATTCCTATTTCATCCCAGCTGAAATCATAAATAATCATCAATAGCAAGAAAATAATTCGTTGCCATTTCATCCCAGTTGAAATCATGAATAATCATCAATAGCAGGAAAATCATACATTCCTATTTCATCCCAGTATAAATCATAAATAATCATCAATAGCAAGAAAATCATACATTCCCATTTCATCCCAGCTGAAATCATAAATAATCATCAATAGCAGGAAAATCATACATTCCTATTTCATCCCAGCTGAAATCATAAATAATCATCAATAGTGGGAAAATCATACATTCCCATTTCATCCCAGCTGAAATCATAAATAATCATCAATAGCAGGAAAATCATACATTCCTATTTCACCCCAGCTGAAATCATAAATAATCATCAATAGCAGGAAAATCATACATTCCTATTTCATCCCAGCTGAAATCATAAATAATCATCAACAGTGGGAAAATCATACATTCCTATTTCATCCCAGCTGAAATCATAAATAATCATCAATAGCAGGAAAATCATAATTTCATAATTACAAGTATTATTTAAATAGTGTAAGTTAAAGATGGGTTTCCTTATTTCTTAATGTCAAATTAAGCCAACTATTCAATTAATTGATGTTTCTCATGAATTATCATGTATTTTTATATCATTATATTCTTTTTAATTAACCAAGTTTTAACCTATCGCAATGTTAATGTATGTACAGTCTGGATAAACAAAAAAAAGACTTTTTGACCTTTCTTGATCAGTCACTCATTGGAATTCTGCTGGTAATTTAGCTAATTATGAATTAATTATGGACATGTGAGATAAACTGGTATTTTTCCAAGTCATTAGAACACCTCTACTTTCTATTCATATAAGTATTAGCATTTTCATAATTGAAAAATCGATATAAGCTTAAGTAAAGATCTATGTGACTAGGTTTTCAAGAAAAATACTTCAAAAAGAGTTTGATACACTACCTCCAAGCCCAGAATTCATCTTGATTAGGGTTTAATGTTTTATGTCTTCTGGAGTATGTATTACCACGTGAATTACCTAACCATACTTCATATCCAGCATCAGCCAAAATAAATGCTGTAATTGAACATTTAATACTGTATTTAAGTTTAGTTTGAATCATATTTAAAAACATTAAGGTGATAAAAAAAAACTTCATCAGTTCTTGAATATTGACACATGAAAAAATATAATCCAATTCACATACAAGAATCTAGTCTAGTTGTGAAGCTTGGATCAATTTTAAGACGACAAATCTAATCCATGTATGTATAAGTAGTCCCTTGGACCTTGAGTTAGTCTAACTATAGTGCTAACAACACACTATTACATAGGATGCTACTAATATCTGTTCACAAACCTAAACTTTCATTGACTAAATTAGTCACCCAATTTGTAGCTGAACACAGTAAACCATGTTGTAAAAAGACCACAGGTCTATCAGAACCAAGATACTGATTATTTCGTCCATGAGGAACCCTCTGAACACCTAATAAAAACCCATCAGCTGTTTCTACTGTGTACTCTTCACATGGGTAACCTTTACTAGTTAATAATTCAGTCTGAAATGTCATTTTAATAAAAAAAAAAAAACCATTAAATATCTATTTGATTACTGTAATTTGAAGATTTAACATATTGAATGATTATTATAATTAATATGAATAATGACAGAAATTATTAAAATGAGCTGTCAGGCACAGTCCCAATAGGCTATATGTCCACAAAGCACCAAATAACATGGTAGCCTTAACTATAAAATAGTGGCCAATTACATAAAAGTCTATTAGGCACTTTGTCAAGAGCATAGTTTATCATGTTCACAAGCTGATTATTATTGACAATCAATGAATTTAGATCTTGTCTCAGCTCTAGCTGTCAATATAGTATGTATACACAACAACTTTCATTTAAATGAGAGAAAACTGGAAATAATATGATATTCACAAGCAAATTTTGACTGTAATAACTCAAACCCTATTCTTTGAAAATATACAAATATCAGACTGTTCAAGATCTCACCAATATAATAAGTATACCAAGTTTCATCAAGGATAAAGAACGATAAATACCGTTGTTTATATCTTTTTACAATTGTGATGTAAGTCTAGGACAATAACTAAAAGCACTGTTCGTCCAAGTGCTAAGCTAAGTAGTTTTGATTTAAAGGGACATTCTGCTTTTTTCAATTGGATTTGGGGTTTTGAGCTTGGAATACATCAAACTGCATGCAGGCATGTAGAGGATGAAAGATTTAACTTGAAATATCCAAGCAATAAGTCACAAACAGTTAAGGTACAAAATTCTTAACCTGTTACATAAGTATTTTGAATCCCCCAGGCTGCATTTATACTGTACTAGCCTATATTCAGTCATGCGAAATGAATTCTGATTGGACCAAAAATTGTTAATGACCAATCAGCAGCAATTTCACAAACATACCTCCAAAAATGAAGAGTTTTAAATCCGTAGTTTAAGATACGCTGTCCATCACGTCATGTATTTTTTATCTCAGCAATTCTAAAATTTGATTTTAAAAAATGGCTTCACTGTCGCCAGGTCATTGTTTAGAAACGATAAAAAAACATATCACAAATAAAAGCCCAGTTTACACCTTAAACTTAAAGCACAATGGCCCTTTAATGGCTTAGATCTATTTCTACAAAGATTTATCTTTTCACTTACCACATTCATGCAAACTTCAGGATCTAAACCAAAACAATCTGCTTCAGGCCTATGAATCTTTTGAACCATTTGAAATATTCCATTTTTGTTTTCAACCAAAGAATCAATTAATAAAGATGACTTTAAAAAATTCTTCCTTACACTTGTTCTGAAGTTTGTTTCTAAATTACAATAGATTTGACAAAAGTTTCCAACACAGACAACTGTCAGAAATTTAACCAACTTGTTGATCATTTTGTCAGTTACTGTTCTGTTGTTTTACTCATATCGATCATATAGTTTTGTACTTTAATGTCATAATTATACTGAACGCCTAATGGTTTCAAAATGATTACTTAGTTAGCATGTGACTGTTGTGTTGACATTGTGACATTTCGTCCTTTGAACCGGATATTCTACTTCCAGTTTCATGTTTTGACGTGTCGTCAGCACGACATTTCGACCATAGTCACTTCGACCATAAGCCCGTCACTCCGGTCATAGAAGTTGGAAATTAACATAGTTATGGAAATTACATACATATTGGCTACAGGTTATTATCATCTTACATGTGCTAGTCAATAAGTTTCTTACTGTAATTCACAACCTTTAAGACAAGCCGTGACCTGCTTTTATTAAGAATTTTAGGTTGTAACATTGCGGTTTATATAAGTAATTGCGTATGCACAAGCGATTAGGATTAAATATCATAAAACCTCACTAAATTCATTGTGAACCCCACCTTGAGATAAAAAATTATAAGTTCTCGATTTGAAGAGGGTTATAAGCGAAAGCCGCTCCCCATATCCTTATCGTGTAAATTACGAGATAAATTACTTAAGTTAACATCCCAAAATATTGTTCTTATTCGTGGCCAAAAAAGAATTGCAAGCTCTCCCTTTAACATGATTCGCTAGATTCTGTTGAGTTGAACAGCAGCATTTTAGACAAAACAACTATAAGAGGCAGGTGTTTCGGGCTGCACAAACTCATATAAAATGTAAATGGACAGATACTCCCCAGTAAATTTAAAGATTTTTTAACCCGTTTTGGCCATATAGTGATTTGTGTATTGCAAGGGTACATTTTTTCAGTCTAACTTAAAGATGGGTTTCCTTTTTTTTTTAATATTTGATTAAATGGTGTTCCTAATGAATTTTCATGTATTCTTAATCATATCATTTCGTTCTTATTGCATATGAGTTTTAAACAATTAGAATGTCAATGTATGTACAGCCTGGATAAACAAAAAAAAACCTTTTGACCTTTCTTGATCGGTCACTCATTGGAATTCTGCTCGTAATTCTCTTCTAATTTAGCTAATTATGTATTAAGTATGGACATGTGAGACAAACTGTTATTTTTCCATGTCATTAGAACACCTCTACTTTCTATTCATATAAGTATTAGCATTTTCATTTACATAAATAAAAATTAGGAAATTTTGGTAATGAATATATGTGAATTATCTTCAGAAGGCGGCTACTAGAAAAGTACGAAAATCGCATAATTCCTTCAAATATATCTCCATCTATGAATTTCTTTTCCCATTTCTACAGTTGTCTTTTCTATTTACACGAAAAGTTGACTCGTCTGTTTAATTTTCAAATGCAGATAATTCTGCAGACACATGGATTTATTTGAGGGCTCAAATTTCTACGGTGGGCTGTGATCCCAATTTCGTACTGGCTTTGATAAAAAAAATATTCAAGTTTCTGAGGCTATGATAGGGTTGGCCAAAAACAATGGCGCAGTTGACCCTTTAATATTGATGTTAGCTCTCTAGTCTAAATATATGTATTGGAATGATATCAGACAAAGTAGCTTCTTCTTCATGTCTGTGAAATGAAATGGAGTTTTACGTCCTACTTTTCTACACGTCTGTGGAGAGAAACTTGCAGGTTAATTGATGTTGTTCAGCCATGGATCTACTATTCAACGATCGCACAGAGGACATAAGTCAATCTACCAGGCGGTGTACATCAAAACATGAGCTATTCATTGAAATCAATGTACGTATAGTAAGTACATAATAAAGCGCCCTCAACTTCACGGTTGAGTAATGGGGGCAGCGTGAGACAGGCCCTATATATATAATATAGTCATTTCAAGGATTAAAGTGCGGAGAATGTCCACGCACAATCATCTTTGGTCTGAATTCTACTTTTCAATTCACAACTATTCAAAGTCAAATATTCAAATGTCATCGGGTTCATAAAAATCAAGGGATCAGTAGGTTTACACATGAATTTAAGACACTTCTTTTCATGACTTTGAACCTGAAATATTTCGAAATATCTGCCTCCAATCCAGCCTCGGAGATCCCTAAAACACCAGTGGTCTCTCAGTATTTCCATGGGCAGGTTCAGGAAATGATATAATTCAAATCAAGTGATAACTACGACGATCCCACGAATGTAACATAAAAAAATACTAAAACATTGCTTTATATAAATATATATATATATATAAACTTTCCAATAAGCAAAATGCCAATGGAAAGCATTTTTTTTTACAATAGAATATAATACTATATAACAGATCCACGAGCACGGACTTGTCATTCATTATATCCTCTTTGTAAACAATCGTTGTGATTTTTCTCCTACTTTAGTCCCATGGTTATACTAGGGTATATGAGCGACTATATTTGAAATACACAACTACTGACATTGACAGGATATAAATAAATCAAACATGTCCAACATGAATTTGAATGATAAAAAAGATTGGAATGTGAGAATCCGACCCATTTTGAAATATAAACGAAAGAAGGCACCTGAAGTTTAGCGTATGTCCATTGTTGTAGCCAGTGTGTAGAAAGTTCTGGCAATGTTCATAACAATTATAGAATAACATAAATAAAGATGTTTAAACATGAAACAATGTAAAAAAAAAATGTCTTTATGATAAATCAGATCCTAATCACATTTCTCTCATTTACTGGTCATCATTTTGACAAATTCTTCATAATTCACCTGTCCATCACCATCCAGGTCAGCCTCTCGGATCATCTCATCTACTTCTTCGTCTGTTAATTTTTCACCTAAATTTGTCATAACATGTCGTAATTCAGCAGCACTGATAAATCCATTACCATCTTTATCAAAAACACGGAATGCTTCACGAATTTCCTCCTCGCTATCGGTATCCTTCATTTTCCTAGCCATCATGGTTAAAAATTCAGGAAAATCTATGGTTCCATTACCGTCGGCATCGACTTCGTTTATCATATCTTGTAATTCAGCTTCAGTTGGGTTTTGACCAAGTGATCTCATGACTGTACCCAATTCTTTTGTAGTAATTGTACCATCACCATCCTTGTCAAATAAACTGAAAGCTTCTTTAAATTCAGCTATTTGTTCTTCAGTAAGTTGATCAGCCATTTTAATGTGTATAATCGAATTTGTATAGAAGTTGTACCGTTGAAGACTTTGATTGCAAATGGCGGCTATCGCTATGTACAACAAGTTGACGCACCTTCACCGAAATTTTGTTTTCACAACGTGGTTAAAAGCGCTACCTACACTGACATGCGCCCACCTGAGTATGAGAATAGTTAAGGGTTTCGTCACCTAGCGACACAGGTAAATCTATTTATAACACGCAATTACTGACTTGTTTGGTGGGTTGTTAAGAAGTTTTACCCGCCAATTGTAATCTATAGTGTTTGTCCTTTTATCGAGACCCTCGACTTATCTATATGAAATATAATCCAACAGGTACAATATAAAAAGGTAATTTTAGATTGCCACCTACCTGTATATACTAACAGTGACAATGTAGAACGATAAAACTTAACTATTTCATAAAACATAGACGTTCGGTTTGGCCTATAGATATTTTAATCAATAATGTATATCTAGCTGTTATTATTTCCAATTACAAGTAATGTATCTGTAATTAATATTGATCACCATGTAGAGGGAGCCAAAGTCAATAGGGCCTATATTTTGCTATATATAAGTATAAATATCCGACAATTTTATCATGTCATTTTCCATAGCATGTCATTTGGGTCAAGTTTCAAACATGTTATAGAAATGAAATCATTCATCAAATATATCATGATACATTATATTGTATATTATAGGCTACAATATAATATATTGTAGAATTATTATATATTATAAAATTATGTTATAGAATCTATATTATATAATTAAGATTATATTGAATCGCACGTCGTTTGTTAATGGAGATACACATTGGAGTAAAAGAAGGATACCCTTTTAGCATTGCCCTATTTAAAATGTATGAAAATGATATAATGATATAGGGCGACCGGATTTGAACATAGTCGACGTCTAAATCGGCCAAGATTTTACCAATCCACCGTCAATCCACAATCTGAACACGTTTAATCCGAATCGAGTGAAATATATAATATATATAATATAATCTTAAAATATATAGACACAGCTTTATACCAAAAATTCCATCATTCATAGCAATATATTCACCACAGGGTTTTACTTCAAACCATTCTGGATTATAGGAGAGTGTTGTTTGTAACCACATTAGGTCATCCCAGATACGATTAATAGTCTCCGCTATAATTCCGTTTCTCTTCCAGAAATCTTGAAACCTATAAAAGAAAGTGATTGTTGTTCCATAAAGCTGTGTCTATATATCGTACTCACAATTGCTAAATGCCATTCAAAGACTATAATCTTAAAATGTATAAGAATCTTTCAAACTTTCCATTATAATTATTATTGTCCCATTAATTATAGATACAGTTATTGCCTTGTTGCTGAGTCGGTCGAATATTTCTACCATAAATTTCTACGGCACCTATATGTGCCTATGGGCGTTGGCAGTTTTTATTCATAGTAGGCCTACAATTTACTTGCCAAAATAATTCTGTTATGAAAGCGGATACCCTCCATACTCAAAATAAATATTAAAAATTCCGCACATATTAAATAATTTAAAAATTGAAAAAAAAAAACTGCTGCATTATGGTTTTGTCGTAAAGTAGACAGTGTCAGCCTACGTCCTAGTTTCAATACAAGAACGACGTCACAGTAAGTCGGTGGCGTAACAATTAGAATGACGTCGTGTAGCCTACTGTGAGTCGTGAGGACATCACAGCAACACGCAGAATCTCTGATGGGGTAGACGATTTATCAGAGCTATGGATTTTGCTTTTGTTGTTAGAATTTTTATATTGAAACTGCTACTAATTGTTGGCTGTTATGCTGCACTTACCAAAAGGTATGTATATTACTTGAATTAATCTATCTGGGCCTATCCTGCAACATCCACGTTTTTGTTGGATCTAGGCTATTTTGACACAACAGAAATTCAGAAGCTTCAACTCTAAGTTTAATATTCTTGCCTCAGATTTAAGCTACTTCTACATTAAGACCAACTTTGTCTTTGTAAGAGTCGTAACGATCCGGAAAATATAGATAGGTTTAAACTATTTTCGAAAAAATACGACCAGGTTTTCTTAGATTAATGTTAGTATATCGTTCTCGGCTAATCTGCTAGCTTGGCCGGGCATCGCATGTGTGTAATATAGCCTAGACTAGGGCTGATCATTGCAGATAATCAATTGTCCAAACGTTGATAAATGTGTTGATTCAAAACTTGATTACTTTTATCCGATATTTTGATTGATAATCAGATGGACAAAATAAAACCTATCTATCTATGACCCCAGTACCGGTATTTGTTTCTTTTATAGGTTTCAAGATTTCTGGAAGAGAAACGGAATTATAGCGGAGACTATTAATCATATCTGGGATGACCTATCGTGGTTACAAACAACACTCTCCTATAATCCAGAATGGTTTGAAGTAAAGCCCTGTGGTGAATATATTGCTATGAATGATGCAATTTTTGGTACCGAGTCCGATACGGAGTGGCCTGTAAAACCAACATCACTAACATTTTACGAAACGATTACTCTACAATTAGAGGGTAGGTCATTCGTGAGCGTCGTATGTATCTCGCTATGTTAGACAGACATTACACATGCATGCGGTACAAAAAATAATAACCATTACGGGTAGGCTACTATAAATTGTTGTTTTTTCTTGAGACTAGATACGATAGATTATATTTATTGTAGATCGGATAGTTTTCTACATGGACAAATACGACCGTTTTTTGTGATTGGATAGTTTATCTCGTTTTGCATTTTGTAAGTCTAAGTAGACCTAGTACTACGTCTTGTTCTAAATTGGTTAGTTTTCTGTTTGTTCTAGATTGGATAGATTTCTGTTTGTTCTAGATTGGACAGATTTCTGCCGATTCTCGATTGGATAGTTTTCTGTTTGTTCTAGATTGGACAGATTTCTGCCGATCCAATAATTTGGATAGTTTTCGGCTTGAATGGATACAATCTGTGATAACTTTCTGCATGATAGTTTTCTTCTAAATTGGATAATTTATCTCTATTTGCACGCCTATTTCTTGTTCTAGATTGGATAGTTTATTACTGTTATCACCTTAATGTCGGCGTAGTTCTATCCTCCGTCGGTCTGTCAAATTTGAGAGCTGGTGTACTGACGGATTTTGACAAACTTGGTGTTAGTAACTATGAACCCTATTAAAAATCAGACAAATCGAAAAATATTCAATGAATTATTGTCATTGTTTTTAAAAATGCGTTGCGGACACGATAGACGAAACTTGGTGGAGTGTTTGTAATAACCTTAGGATAAACCCTATTGAAATCAGAAGAATATTTAATATGAGTTATTGCCCTTGTTCTTGAAAATGCGTTCGATTTTTGGTTCGTAAACAGCCAAGAAGGCATAATTCTTGATAGATTTAGACGAAACTTGGTGAAATTAATTAATATTGCCATAAAAAAAATTCGCAATGTATATTTTGTTCTAAAAGAATAGAAGGCAAATAGATAATTAATGTGGTCATGGATGAAAATGATAATATTTTGCTTCATTACTAATGAATATATATATAAGAAAGGGCATGATTTAAAAAAAAACCAGGGATTTGATTCACTAAATGGGCGTTATTGGAGAATGATAAATTATGACTGTTTACAATATTGACATTTTGAACAAAGTAAACATAGATAATGATAAAGTTAACAAGAATATAAAACAATATTTAATAGCTTACATATTATAACGAAAGTGGTTTTAATGATGGAAATAGTCGATAGGTAATTGACCGTGAATGTAACCCTTAATATTATAGCAGATATACTTTGCATGTGTAATTTCTCGACATTCCCTCCTACCTATCATTTTGAAATAGTAGGTCGTAATCACAATAAGGCAAGCAAACAATCGCAAGGTCCATGCTCTGGTCGTTTCATTTAGAACCCATAGGAGAAACATTTTGGTAGCTGCAAATGTAATATCTAAATCTAAGCCAACCGAGACACTCTTTATATTTACTCAATTGTTTGGATAGCTGATATTAAAATTTGTAGAATTTTTCTTAGGCTTATATATATTTGAATTTCCATTTATTTTTAGGTCTAAGGTTTAAATATGTATAATAACCTTTCAAGATTATTTTTTCACGAAACACGTTAGTTGTTACTTTCAATCACCCTATATAATCACGATATCTTTAAGGTAATTGCTCGGCATTGATTGGGAACAGAAATGGTAATGATAATATTCGTACATTACTAATTCTTCTGAAGAATATATTACATCAAGGTCCATATCAACTCCCAAAAATGGTGAACTATTATGACATTTAATTAATATGATATTGCTGTAGCCAATGTTATTTTTAATTTTAGATATTTGGAAAACATCTGAATTGTTAGATTCCATACCATTAGAATTTAATGCGGTTAACAAAACGACATGGTGTTTATTTTTCACAAACTTCATTTTAACATTGGTTCTGTGTTTAAATACAATACTGTCTAAAGATGAAGGTGAGCTTAAATTATGACTTCACGAATGAGTTCCAATATCCAATTTGCACCCAATTTGCACGATTGAGCCGACCTATTAGTGCAATGTAATCTTTAGAATAAAAAACAGGGAATCAAGACCATGACTAAGAAATATAAATACCCTTAACCCTCCAAATTTAAAACTTGGTCAGATGTATAAAAATCAATTATACATCTGATTGTTTTTAAGCAATTTCAGTTTGGCCGTTTTAGGGTGCATGGCGGCTTTTATTACCGGCTCGTTTTATATCTTCCGTGACTTTTACTAGAAAAAACGTATCAATCTTTTTACTTTATTTCAGAACGTTTCTATGTCACCAGTCACTGTAAACCAAGAAGATCTTTGTACAGAAAAACCAAGAATTCTTTTGATAAAAGACACCAATCCATTAGTATCAGAAGATTACAAAAATTGAAGAAAAGGAAAGCCATTCCTTCGTATTTGATAAAAAAGCAAATGAAAAAATATTTATCTGAGCCAGACAAACATCAAAAACAGAATATTCTCAAACTGAAGAAACTGTCCCCAAGACTTTTTATCAAGAAACAATCTAGATCAGATTTAGAAATCAGAAAACGGTCTAAGGTGAAAACTCCTCTTTCTCTAGAAGGGAAGATTTATGATCTAAAATCACCAGATGATATTCCTTGGGAAATTTTAGACATTTTATTGTGTATCAAAAGTCCTTGTATGGATCATGATCATGATCATGTTTGTGTTGTAGGAAATCATGTCTATACAATTCCGAAGTGGTCCATACCAAATACAACACGATTATCGGAGAAATCAATTCCTGATCATTCAATAAATGACAAGGAAGCAGAACACTTTGCTGATTCAGTAAATAGCGATGACGAGCTAGTCGTGAACAAATTGCCTGTAAAACACACCAACACATTCCAACCTATTAAACCTGCTAAAATTATTGATGTTGCTGATACAGTCGAAAGACCACAAGCTGTTTATATGGAGGACACAAAATCCCGAAAACATCAAGAAACCTCTGATAATATCCTGCATGGAAAGTGTGACAGGAAAATAAGCTTACCACAATTAATGTCGTCTAAACCACTGATAGATCCAATAGGATCGGAATCAACAGATTTAGAGGAAGATTACTACGACGTTAATCACACCACATTTACAGACACTACTCCAAATGCTCTGAAATATGTCAAAACGATTGTTAATGATGCATGCAACGAGTCGACTAACACTTTCAGTAATTTACAAAATATAGAGCACAATGCGTCTCCGTTAAATCTACAGTCACCAATCATCATCAGAACATCGCCTGTCGATGAAACGGTTACCAGTCTGGTGCTCAATGAAGATGAAATTGGATTACCATGTGCAAACTCAAGCTTCAAATCAGAAAGCCACGAGTTAAACAATAATGATTCTAGAGTATGTTTAGAGGACACCGAGCATAGCTGGATTGAGGATGACAGTTTCTTTTCATCTAAGGATCATTTCATCGATGACGACACAAAAAGTTTTCATGAAGTTGATTTGAACTTGTCGTCATATCTTCACAACGTTTCGTCTCGTTTACTGAAAGATTCGCAAGATATACATCACCTGAGAAAAACCCTCAGTTTCTATGGTGACGTAGTGAGTATTACGATAAGTTTATTACTGTACAACAAAGTCTGTGTCGTGCATTGATACAGAAAGCGGCTCAAGCGCCATCATTTACATTTTTAATTGCAATTCAGTATTTGTGACGGTAGACATTTATCACAGACATCAACTAATAAGGGCAGTAGGCTGAGCATATTTGAAATTTTGTTCCCAAACTAAAACTTCTTGTGCTTATTAACTCAATAATGAGTTGGTGACTAGGGACTATACGTAGAAACGAGTATAGGCCTATATAACAACTAAGGTTTGATCGTTCTATTTTTATAGCACAGTTTTTACAATAATTCATCCCCCCTACTAGATCGTATGTGGTAATGTAAGATAAATACATATAACAGCTCGTGCCCCAATAAGCATCGGTAAACTAATTGTTTTCAGCAGCTAACCTTTGTTAACACAATTAAATTTCATATAAACATGACAAGACATGACTGAAATACACATCTAGATTTATAGAATAGTCTGTTAAATTCGACCAATCAACCAACTATAATTAATTAACTTTTTTTTAAATTTTCAGTCAGTATTGGAATTGGGTGCTTCCTGGCTAGTTGGAGGACTACTGGGTCAAGTAATAGACGATCTAGATATATCTTCTCGAGCGGAATCATTAGTTTTCAATATATCAACTCGAGTTAATTCAGTCTTCAATACTACCAGATAATAAATCATACACACTTCTCTCCCTTGTTGTCATTTCCTGCCAATTCTGTCCTTCTGATAACTGATGAGGACAAATTGGTCAACACTATTTCAGTGACATTTGGGATATGAACATTGCTAAACTATTTCTGAACAATGAAACATAAAGACGTCTATGGTATATAATAGTCTATAATGGTATATAGAGGTGTTATAATATATTAAGACATCTCTGTCTTGTTTAATGGTATGGTGATATAATATATTGAATGGACAAAGGTGCCAGTTTGGGGGATTGATTTGAGCCTTTAATGTATGTAAACAGTCTCTAGAAGTACTAGAAATGTACGAAAATTGCATAATTCCTTCAAAAATATACGGTGTCTTGGTTTCTGCGCCAGCCTCCGACTGCTCCGACATATCATTTTGATATTCGCAATTTGGAAACCACGTTTTCTCCACGCTGACTGCAATAATGTTCTTATGTATAATGAAACGAAACAATACATACTCTTTTACATTTTTCAACATGAAATTTTGTGACTATAGCCTATCTATCGTATCGGTATGCCTTTAGATACAAAATGTTTAGCCACCCCACCGTGTCGAGTTTTATCGTGAATTAAAGCAAGCGTATCATGTTATTTCGTTGTATATATACATATGAGTGGATATTATGTCAGTGACTGCATTTTCGACTTTCTATTTTTAAAATACGAATTTTCAACTTATGCTAACCATTGAAATTTTGGATTAATATTTACAAAGAATTGTAAAATCATCTGATTTCTATATTTTATAGACTCATGTTAGTCGTGTGGTATATATTATGTAAATATTTCACATACAAAAATAATAAACGGTTATATCGCAAGATAGTCCTAGATCTGTAAAGGTTGGATTAAAGATAAGGGTCAAAACATTAATTGTTGAAAATAACTGTCGTGGCATAGGTAGGCTATGGGATAGCCTGGTATGTTTCGGACTATTTTGACCTCACAAAGCACGGAGCTATTTCATGCAGGTTATAGATATAAATAATAACTATATTTATAACTCTATGATGTCGACACAGTGGGGTGACTAAATATTTGCTATCTAAACCCATACGACGATAAAGTCACAAAATTTTATGTTGAAAAATAAACATTTTTTATTGTTTCGTTACATCATACATAACTTTCTATCTTGTTTAATGGTGTATATAGATGATATAATATATCTCTATCTTGTTTAATGGTATATATAGATGATATCATATATCTCTATCTTGTTTAATGGTATATATAGATGATATAATATATCTCTATCTTGTTTAATGGTGTATATAGATAAGATAATATATCTCTATCTTGTTTAATGGTATATATAGATGATATAATATATCTCTATCTTGTTTAATGGTGTATATAGATGATATCATATATCTCTATCTTGTTTAATGGTATATATAGATGATATAATATATCTCTATCTTGTTTAATGGTGTATATAGATGATATCATATATCTCTATCTTGTTTAATGGTATATATAGATGAAATCATATATCTCTATCTTGTTTAATGGTGTATATAGATGATATAATATATCTCTATCTTGTTTAATGGTGTATATAGATGATATGATATATCTCTATCTTGTTTAATGGTGTATATAGATAAGATAATATATCTCTATCTTGTTTAATGGTATATATAGATGATATAATATATCTCTATCTTGTTTAATGGTATATATAGATGACATCATATATCTCTATCTTGTTTAATGGTATATATAGATGATATAATATATCTCTATCTTGTTTAATGGTATATATAGATGATATCATATGTCTCTATCTTGTTTAATGGTATATATAGATGATATCATATATCTCTATCTTGTTTAATGGTATATATAGATGATATAATATATCTCTATCTTGTTTAATGGTGTATATAGATGATATAATATATCTCTATCTTGTTTAATGGTATATATAGATGATATCATATATCTCTATCTTGTTTAATGGTGTATATAGATGATATCATATATCTCTATCTTGTTTAATGGTATATATAGATGACATCATATATCTCTATCTTGTTTAATGGTGTATATAGATGATATAATATATCTCTATCTTGTTTAATGGTATTATAGATGATATAATATATCTCTATCTTGTTTAATGGTATATATAGATGATATCATATATCTCTATCTTGTTTAATGGTATATATAGATGATATCATATATCTCTATCTTGTTTAATGGTATATATAGATGATATCATATATCTCTATCTTGTTTAATGGTATATATAGATGATATAATATATCTCTATCTTGTTTAATGGTATATATAGATGATATAATATATCTCTATCTTGTTTAATGGTATATATAGATGATATCATATGTCTCTATCTTGTTTAATGGTATATATAGATGATATCATATGTCTCTATCTTGTTTAATGGTGTATATAGATGATATAATATATCTCTATCTTGTTTAATGGTATATATAGATGATATAATATATCTCTATCTTGTTTAATGGTGTATATAGATGACATCATATATCTCTATCTTGTTTAATGGTGTATATAGATGATATAATATATCTCTATCTTGTTTAATGGTATATATAGATGATATCATATATCTCTATCTTGTTTAATGGTGTATATAGATGATATCATATATCTCTATCTTGTTTAATGGTATTATAGATGAAATAATATATCTCTATCTTGTTTAATGGTATATATAGATGATATAATATATCTCTATCTTGTTTAATGGTATATATAGATGATATCATATATCTCTATCTTGTTTAATGGTATATATAGATGACATCATATATCTCTATCTTGTTTAATGGTGTATATAGATGATATAATATATCTCTATCTTGTTTAATGGTATATATAGATGATATAATATATCTCTATCTTGTTTAATGGTATATATAGATGATATCATATATCTCTATCTTGTTTAATGGTGTATATAGATGATATAATATATCTCTATCTTGTTTAATGGTATATATAGATGATATCATATATCTCTATCTTGTTTAATGGTGTATATAGATGATATAATATATCTCTATCTTGTTTAATGGTATATATAGATGATATCATATATCTCTATCTTGTTTAATGGTGTATATAGATGATATCATATATCTCTATCTTGTTTAATGGTATATATAGATGATATGATATATCTTGTTTAATGGTGTATATAGATAATATGATATATCTCTATCTTGTTTAATGGTGTATATAGATAAGATAATATATCTCTATCTTGTTTAATGGTATATATAGATGATATAATATATCTCTATCTTGTTTAATGGTGTATATAGATGATATAATATATCTCTATCTTGTTTAATGGTGTATATAGATGATATAATATATCTCTATCTTGTTTAATGGTATATATAGATGATATCATATATCTCTATCTTGTTTAATGGTGTATATAGATGATATCATATATCTCTATCTTGTTTAATGGTATATATAGATGATATCATATATCTCTATCTTGTTTAATGGTATATATAGATGATATAATATATCTCTATCTTGTTTAATGGTATATATAGATGATATAATATATCTCTATCTTGTTTAATGGTGTATATAGATGATATAATATATCTCTATCTTGTTTAATGGTATATATAGATGATATCATATATCTCTATCTTGTTTAATGGTGTATATAGATGATATCATATATCTCTATCTTGTTTAATGGTATATAGATGATATGATATATCTTGTTTAATGGTATAGTGAGTTGATATGATATATTAAGATCACACTACTGACAGCACAAGAAGGGCAATTTCTTGCATAGATCTGAGAAATCCAAACTCATTTTCTACGAATTCATAAAGTGTTCAGCTTTAAAAAGATACCAAAAGTTATGACAAATGTGCTTTTGTTTTGATAAAAATTATAAAAAAAAAGTGTGACTTTAAAATGGGTCGGGATGTACTCCTAAATGTTTGACTCCGACATTACATGGCCCTAAGAAATGACGCTATCACACCCAGCATATCAAATTTTAGAAACTGAGTAGGGACAGAATTTTCGGACTAACACTGACTATATAAAATCAATACGTTATTTGATTCGACAAATGCTCATCATGCTCAATATATTTTTGCTTTATTGAACTGAATGAACACTTCATATTCAAATGCCTTTTTCAAGTAATGAGTGAAAGTCAGAGAAGCCTAATTTGGGAGTTGACAAAGAGGAATTTTCTGAGACACAATCTAAATACAAATTTTGTAAGCCATTTATTTATCAAAAAACTCCTGGCTACATTTGTCATGAGTATTGACGTCATAAGATTCTAAACTAGACAAATTTACAATATATCTAAATAATTAACATGAAATGTATCACACCTAATTAGACCGTTTCTTTAAATAACTACTTCTTTAAAAAGATTGATTGTAGTTCAGTTGAGATCTATGCTTGGAATAGTTAAATTCAATATGCAAATCAGTGTCTAATTAGCATATTACGGAAATATGATATTGATAACAAGATATAGTACTCAGTGTGACCAAATATAGTCAATAATCCACAGTATCAATCAATACATGTACATAGTTGTTAGGAGTAACACTATATAGATGTGTGTGATATCTATATTTTAATGAGCGCTGTGAGAACTGGTATTCAATCAACTGATTGAATATAACAATAGTCTTGTTGCTATATACCTTCAATATTTATAGCAAAACAAACCCTACATTATCGTCTTGTCTATTTAAACTACCCTTAAACTTATACATGATTCATTATAGTTCTTTTCTGGTTTTCTATTTAATTGAATAACATGTGAGCCTTACACGGTGACTGAAAAGGACAAATCTAAGCAATGAATAAATAAATAAAAAAATTGAAATACTATTATATTCACATTATAACTAGGATAGAAAATGATTCTATATTATTGAGCACGCATACCATAATGTACTTCTTTGTTATCTAGCTTGAGCGTCCAGTTGCCATAGTTACCGAGTCAAAGATCAATACTAGAGTTCGATTCTAGTAAATAAGCCAAATTAATGAATACACAGCTCTCTCATCGTTGTTGAACTCCTTGAATATTGTGCGCACAATAACCGAGCACATGGACGGCATTTATGTCGATAACAAAGAAATATAACCGTCCTATCCATTTGAAAATGAAACAAAACACCCTTGACATGAAAACTTTGAATGAAATCCAGTTAGAGTCTGTAAATTTATCTTAATACCTCACTTTGATGTCATCATTGTAACGAATTCTTCATAATTCACCTGTCCGTCGCCATCTATATCAGCCTCTCTGATCATCTCATCTACTTCTTCGTCTGTTAATTTTTCACCTAAATTTGTCATAACATGTCGTAATTCAGCAGCACTGATAAATCCATTACCATCTTTATCAAAAACACGGAATGCTTCACGAATTTCCTCCTCGCTATCGGTATCCTTCATTTTCCTAGCCATCATGGTTAAAAATTCAGGAAAATCTATGGTTCCATTACCGTCAGCATCGACTTCGTTTATCATATCTTGTAATTCAGCTTCAGTTGGATTTTGACCAAGTGATCTCATGACTGTACCCAATTCTTTTGTAGTAATTGTACCATCACCATCCTTGTCAAATAAGCTAAAAGCTTCTTTAAATTCAGCGATTTGTTCTTCGGTAAGTTGATCAGCCATTTTTAGAAAACTGCGACCGGAAACCTAGAAATCGATGAAAGAAGAAGAAGACGAACACGAGCTGTTGTCTATCAAATTAATGATTTGACGTTGTTGCTTCCTAATTTTATATTTATAACCAAGTGTAAACGACTCGACCGGAACACGTTACCTTGGAAATCAGTGGCAATGTTCTGGGACTACCGAATGACGTCCCTGAGTTAAGCCTGGCTTTAAATAAGAGCTGTAATAAATTTGCAAGGAAGAAACTGCTCGTGGCAGGTCTATAGATCAATTATCTTCTGTCTTCATTCATTCACATATAATTAGCTTGGATATTGGAAACATGTCAATATTACGTCATATTAATATGTTCTTTTGTAAAATAGTAATAATGAATGCTGAATGGAGGTGTAAAAGGACATCACAATTAACATTATGTACGAAATCAATAATTGTGTAGCGCAGCTGTTACCAGTTTTATTTCAATGAGATATTGGTATTTATTAGATACATTAAAGCCTTTTATTTTAATATCAAGTCGACATTAAAGGGACATGTTTTCTATTCACAAATCGTACGTTAGTCTCAGAAACTGGAGCAAGCTAAGCTGATTAATAATAGTGTGCACAGCTCAACCCTTGATCCATGTGTATCCAGAATTATTCGCTTTTGTAAGTTAAAATGACGACTCGTCTTTCCTTGAGAGTACGCCATGTATAAAAAAGTCATTTTAAAGCAATAAGAAAGTGCAATTTTAAACAAAATTATCAATGGGCTCGAATCTGTATTTTTCTGATATAAACTACAATGATCAAAATCCAGGAATAGTTGTAAATCTTTTGATTGGATGATGTAAAAAATTTAGAAATTAGATGTAGAACTCTATTTGAAAAAATGTTGTGTATTATACACCTGTATACAACTGATTTTTAGTATTAGCAAAGTTTTAGCTCGGAACATTGGAAGCGAGAAGTGCGTATATGTGTCAATCCAAAAAAGGACTGTGTATAAATTTAAAGCTTAATTAAAGACATTTGAAAATAGTGAAATCAGGATGCATTTGAAATGGTTCAGGACAATAAACATTGACCCTTATTGTCGTCTTTTCCCTGTGTGCTGCATGTTCCCATAGGGTCGGCTAATAGCACACATTATTCTAGAAATAAGAATGATAGCTTAAAAGAATAAATACCATCTAAGAATAAAGTTTCATGATAGCTTTCTGAAAAAGTAACTTCTGGGTACCAATTTACAAATTCACCAGTTTACAAAATTATCGAATCTAAACTAAGGGCTGTATGCTGTGGTCGAACTTAGCGATCAAATTTGTATTTTTTATCACATCCTCAGCTTATTTTTATAATGTTTATGGGTGGATCTTGGTGATGTGTAAAAGATATATATAGTTTAACTACATTTTAATCATAAAATTGGACGGCGTGCATCTTAGTTATGGGCGCAGCCATATTCAATTAAGGGACATAACTCTCAATACATAAAATGATCAGCGGAAACACTGGACACTACATCCCTTCCCCCTTTAGATAAAAGAACATTGTCACTGGTTACATAATAACACTGAAAATTATTTGTATTCTTTTCAAGTTAAAATAAAATTAAAATGGATAACTGTCCACTTGATTAGATTTAAAATAGAATTTAAATCCTTTAACGCATTATTTAGCACATTGATTAAATATAATGTTACTCAAATCACAGTTCAGAACAATTGACTAGGAAATAATTAAAATTGCCCTAAACATAGTCATTTCGATAACGGGGTCTATTACGATGTCTTCTTGGGTTTCTTGTCATTGGTTGTGGAATGACTGGATTTGGTCGTTTAGCATAACTATCATCCTCGATGTCATCTCCAGAATCGGATGTTGCTTTATTGAGCTGATTTGACGTAGTTGGTAATCTTTTTAGTAACGAGCTGTTTCTTGCATAAACTTTGCCATTAGGTCGTTTCAGTGTAATCATAGATCCTTTAACATCTAATACTACGGATGGTTCAGCACTAAAAGGCGTAGACAATTTATTGACTTTATTCTGTTTCACTAATACCTTGCATGAGATCAGATGATTTGGCAAGAACTTTTGATCTGCATATGATTTCATCTTACATTTGGCAGCTTTGGCCAGTATGGAGTGACACGTGCATGATGAAGACCAACAGTTTTAGCATTATTATGATTGAAAATCTGCACCATTAAATGGGGGTCCATTATCAGATTTAAGTTCGTGAACAATTCCATGTGTAGCAAACATTTTGTCTAACTTTGGTATAATACAATGAGCTGAGGTTGATTTGATGATTTCTACTTCTGGATAACGAGAGTAATAATCTATAACCACTAACAGATAGTCTCCAGAGGGAAATGGTCCGCAAAAATCAGCACTAACATGACTCCAGGGTTGTGATGGAGATTCTGTCATGTGAAGTGGTTCTGGTTTTGGTGAGGTTCCAGTGTTTGCTGATTGACAAGGTATACAATGATTAATGAGTGATTCTGTATCTCGATCAATGTTGGGATACCATACTTTTTCTCGAAGTAATCGTTTGGTTTTAACAACTCCTTGATGACCTTCGTGAGCTATTTTGAGACAATTATCACGTAGAGATTCTGGTATTACCAATTTTGAATTTCTGAGGACAACTGATGAAATAACCGATAACTGTTTTCTGACGTTGTAGAATGGTTTAATGTCAGGATCAGCCTTATTCCAGATATTGGTGTTGATGGACTGGATCAATTTCTGCATAGCTGGATCCGTCGATGTAGCTTCTCGCATCATCTCTCAAGTCATAAATTTTGGTACAGCATTATTACCAATATAATTAACATATTCTTCTATGTCTCTATCAAAATTTGGTTGGCAGGATTGAGGGTGTCTCGATACGAAATCAGCAGGGTTGTTAGCTTCTGGTTGATATTCAACTAGTAAGTTGTATGGTTGCAAACGTAGTAAACAACGTTCAATTCTTGCTGTAGGTTTGGAAAGTGGTTTATTAAAAATCCCCTCTAATGGTTTGTGGTCCGTGATGATGATGATGAAGACTTTACATAGACATACAGATGATAACCATTTGATTCCCTTTTTAGTTAATTCTCGGAGAGAGTCGGTAATTATCGAATGATGTGGAATGAATCGGGCTATATAGTTTGTCATTCCCAATACGCTTCTAACAGCAGCAGCATCTTGTGGAACAGGTGCTTCTTTGACTGCAGCAACTTTAGCAGGGTCTCGAAATATACCCTGAGGCGAGAATGTAGATCCGAAAAATTCAAGTTTGTGTTGGTTGAACAAACATTTGTCGAGATTTAGTTTAAGATTCTTTTCACGTAGGCGTTGAAATACCATATGAAGAGATTGGTTGTGGTCAGTGTCTGATTTACCATAGACAATGATAACGTCGGAGATGTTCTTTACACCTGGTATGCCTGTCAAAACTTGCTGGATTATGTACTGAAATATCTCAGATGCAGAAGATAAGCCAAACAATAGTCTTTTGTACCTTCTTAAACCAAGGTGGGTTGCAAATGTTGTAAGGTAACGTGATGATGGGGCTAACTCAATTTGATGATAACCTTGAAAAAGATCAAGTTTTGAAAATGTTGTGGATCCATTAAGGTCATGTATGATTTCATCTAAGGTTGGTGTTGGGTGAGGTTGTGTGGTAACAGCTGTGTTGGCTGCTCTCATATCAACACATATTCTGACTGTGTTATTCCGTTTCGGTACGATTACAATGGGCGATACCCAAGGTGTCGGTCCAGATACTTCCTCGATGATGTCAGAGTCTTGAAGTTTTTGAAGTTCAGCCTCAACTAATTTTCTTGTATGGAAAGGAATGCGTCTCGCAGGTTGAGCAATAGGTTTAACTGTTTCGTCGATGTGGATTTGGAATTGGTATTCTTTTAGTTTGCCTAATCCTTGGAAACATCTTTAAATTCAGATATTAAAGTCTCAGACTTTGGTAGATCAGATGATATTGTAGAATTTACTTGAAGTATTTGAACTAGATCAAGTTCTAAACAAGACTTGTACCCAATAAGAGTGCTTGCTTTCTAGTCAGTGACATAAAATAGTGCCGTACATTGCTTGATTGGAGTTTCTAAAGTAGCATCAAATACTCCTAGGATTGGTAGAGGAATTGTTTTGGTATTATTTTCTGATATGTTTCCTTGTCGACGATATTGACTGATGCTCCAGTCTCATGATAACAGGAATGGTTACACCAGCATTGGTTAGATTAGTAAGCGGTTGCTTGCTGTTGGTTGGTGAGTCGACTGTGAAAATATATTCATCGGCAGAAGATGATTGACTGTCATGAATAAGATTGATAGATTTAGGTTTGGATCCTCCATTATTGGATTTCGACTTTGATTGGTTATATCGATTGGTTGGTTTAGCAAAAGTCTTGGTATTCGTAGATGTGGTCGGTCAACCTCCTGCTCTACAAACTCTTGCAAAATGATTTAACCTTCCACAATTAGAACAGGCTTCCCCTTTTGCTGGACATGGTTTGTCTACATGGGGCCAAAATCCACCACACAAGCCACCTGATGTTAACCCCCCTCTTTTTTTTGTTGCTGAGCTTAATAAGTAATAGACAACAACTACAATAATATTGCAGACTTACTGTCTTTTTACGACTGAATTACATTGGCCGGTCTAGTTGCTAGTGATCTCCCTTTCTATACAGACTGCATAGCTTTGTTTTTACGGCAAAAATATAAACCGTCAATGCTTTGCGTAAAAGATAGCCTGCCAGGCATAGTGATTTCTGCAGCATGAACGGTCAGATAGAACATGATAGAATCTTGTTGATCTTCACGAAAACCTTAATTTAATTGATTTATTATATAAACAACAATATACTTAATAACTGGGTAAAAAATATCACATAAATAATAACAAGATTTGGGTTTGGGTTTTACAAAACAATAGGTGAACCTACAGAAATAATAACATAATGTTTTGCTCTAAAACTCTCGTCCCCCTTTTTCAAATACCATATTTAATGAAATATGTATAAGCTTTTTTATTTTAGATAATGACGCATTCAACACTGTATATGAATTCAATGGCTACAACCTTGGATGATTTTTGTTAAGTAGCTACTCAGGCATACACCATTAAATAAGGTATATGTCTTATTTATGAATATTCCTTATTTCATGCTCTGATACAATGTCTGAAGAATGTCCTATGAGAGTGTAAAAATTTTAACAGACAATTCACTAACGAATCAAACAAAAGGTAACATACAATGTATAGGTGATATATCATTAGGCATATAGCTAGCAATTGAAGCATTTGCAAATAACACAAAATTACAATGGTAATCTAATCTCACTGTTGTATAGATTAAGACCTAGTCATCATCATTTTGACAAATTCTTCATAATTCACTTGTCCATCACCATCCAGGTCAGCCTCTCGGATCATCTCATCTACTTCTTCGTCTGTTAATTTTTCGCCTAAATTTGTCATAACATGTCGTAATTCAGCAGCACTGATAAATCCATTACCATCTTTATCAAAAACACGGAATGCTTCACGAATTTCCTCGTCGTTATCACCATCTTTTACTTTTGAAGACATCATGGTTAAAAATTCAGGAAAATCTATGGTTCCATTACCGTCAGCATCGACTTCGTTTATCATATCTTGTAATTCAGCTTCAGTTGGATTTTGACCAAGTGATCTCATGACTGTACCCAATTCTTTTGTAGTAATTGTACCATCACCATCCTTGTCAAATAAACTGAAAGCTTCTTTAAATTCAGCGATTTGTTCTTCAGTAAGTTGATCAGCCATTGTGTTAGTTTGTGATGTTCTACAAATGTTTGTGTTTATCTATCAGGACTATTTTGGTGATTTAGAGTTTGATCTGTAAATTATAGGTAACCTACCTAAACTAAACTACCTTGACAACACTGTGTGCCATGGTCACGGAATAGAAACAAATGTCAATGGGATTATCCTTTCATTCATAACTATATCATTAACTTAAGTAGCTTAAAAGCATAATACAATAATTATTTGTAATAATTGTTACGTCATTTGTAAAAGACAACTGAAGCTTATATTTCTTTTTCTGTAAGTTACTAACACGCCAAAAAGTCTGGCAGGTTACAATTTTAAATCAAGTTCCCTTAAACTCGAGTTGAGTCGTCGACGCCTGAACGCCTGAGATACGTAATACGCTCCGCTTCGATCATTTTCTGGCTGTTGACATTCATGGGGCTCACAATCCAGATAATCTGAGAGCAAAGCAAGGTAATATACGTCCACGTACAGCTTGGCAGTACAGTTACAATTACCAATATGAAATATTCAACCTTCAGTCATACACATGTTTTGAACTTTTTATACTGAATTATATTACCAGGTTTTGTCAAAATCCAACAAGAATCTTCGTCTTTCAGTGTTAACGAGCTAAAATTGAAACCCTTTTTCAATAGCTCATATTATGAAATATATTTTTTTCTTTATTGATTTTCAGTAGTGTTTATCCATGGATGATAATAAACAATATTAACAAGTTTTGTCAAAATTCGTCAAGAATTGTTCCTTCTGAAAATTAAACACGCTTTCAAGAACAAGGGCATTATCTCACAATAAATATTTTTCGATTTTTCTGATCTTTTATAGGATTTAAGTTTCGTCGAAATCCGTCCAGAATTATTCCTTCTAGAGTGTTTACGGGCTAAAAATTAAACACGCTTTCGAGAACAAGGGCATAAACTCATACTAAATATTTTTCGATTTGTCTGATTTTCAATAGGGTTCATCTGTGAATGATTACAAACGCCCACACCAAGTTTCGTCAAAATCCGTCCAGAATTGTACCTTCTAGAGGCTAGAAATTAAACACGCTATCAAGAACAAGGACATTAACTCATACTAAATAGTTTTCGATTTTTCTGATTTTCAATAGGGTTCATTCTTGGATGATTTCAAACACTCTCACCAGTTTCTTCAAAATCTGTCGAGAATTGTTATTTTTGAGTGTTTACCGGCAGTTGTGGACGAACGGACGGATGGACATGAGTGACGCCAATATAACCCCCGCAACCCAACCACCACCCCACCCCACCCCACTATTTCATCTGGCACCTACCTTATATACCAAGATTTATTGGTAAGAAAACAAGAGCAACAAACTTCTGTATTTTTCAATCTGATTAAACTATAGATCTTGATGTAACCTTTTGTGTTGGCCGAGGATATTCGCCACCCGGGTGGCAAACAAGTATTCTCCACCCTCATTTTTTATTTGCCACCCGTTTTTAAAACTTTAATTTCTCTGAAGACTGACATTATTAGCTGTGAAGGCTATAGCGTTACATGCATTATGATGTTTTTTTATGTTCATTAGAAACGCTTATTTGCAATTCCTTTCAGAAAAATTTACGAAAATAACACCTACTTATAATTTATAGTCAACCGGTGTTAAGTCAATTTGGCCTCCACTTTTTTGAATCACTTCTATGAAATTTAGTCTCGATTTTCATGTCACCTACAAACCTCACGTGGCCTCCAAATTTTTTTTAGTCCCGGAAGCGTTTTTTCTTGACATTTCACGGCGGATTTAAAGATTTTTTTTATAGTGTGTGGGAGATCCCACCCTTTGAAGATTTTTAGAATCGGATTCCCAAAAACGCGAATTCCTGACATTCCGTATTAGATTAAGAAAGCTGGAACAAAAGCTGAGGGTGGTAAAAAAGATCTTACGGTGGTTAACAAGAATTGTCGGTGGTACACAAGAATTGTGAGTGGTAAACAAGTATTGGGGTGGTAAACAAGATGTGAGGGTGGTGAACAAGAACTGGAAGTGGTCAACAAGAACTGCGGGTGTTGAACAGGAACGGAGAGTGGTAAACTAGACCTACGAGTGGTAAACAAAGACCGAGGGTGGTAAACAAGAGCTGAGGGAAGTAAACAAGATTTTTGGGTAGTAAATAGGAGCTGGGTTAATGAATAACAACTAGGGTGGTAAACAAGAGCCGAGGGTAGTTTACAAGGGCAGAGAGTGGTTAACAACAACAAGAGCTTCGGCTGGTGAACAAGAGCTTAAGGTGGTTAACAAAAGTTGAGGTTGGCAAACAGGAATTGTGAGTGGTAAACAAGTATTGGGGTGGTAAACAAGAGCTGAGGGTGGTGAACAAGAGCTGGAAGTGGTAAACAAGATCTGAGGGTGGTAAACAGGAACGGAGGGTGGCAAACTAGACCTGCTGGTGGTAAACAAAAACCGAGGGTGGTGGGCTGTGGGTGGTAAACAAGAGTAGGTTGGTAAAAATAACCCAGGGTGGTGAACAATATCTGAGGGTGGTAAAGAAGAGGAAAACAACTAAGTAGGTGAACAAGAGCTTAGGGTGGCAAACAAGAATTGTGGATGGCAAACAAGACCTGGGGTGGTGAACAACAGCTATATTAATGAAACAAGAGCTGAGTGTAGTAAACAAGAATTGTGAGTGGTAAACAAGTATTAAGGATGGTCAACAAGTATTGAGGGTGGTAAACAACAGCTAGGTTAATGAAACAAGAGCTGAGAGTGGTAAACAAGTATTGAGGGTGGTAAACAACAGCTAGGTTAATGAAAAACAACTAGGGTGGTAACAAAGAGTTGGGATGGTAAACAAGCACCAAGGGTGGTAAACAAGAACTGTGGGTGGTATACAAGAACTGATGGTGTTGAACGACAGCTAGGGTGGTAAACAAGAGTTGGGGGTGTTAAACAAGAACTTAGGGTGGTAAACATCAACTAGGTAGGTGAACAAGAGCTGTGGGTGGTGAACAGGAGCTGAGGTTGGTGAACAGCAACTAGGGTGGTGAACAACAACTAGGTAGGTGAACAAGCGCTTAGGGTGGTAAACAACAACTAGGTAGGTGAACAAGGGCTTAAGGTGGTTAACAAGAGTTGAAATGAAATGAAATGAAATGAATGGAGTTTTACGTCCTACTTTTCTGCAACAAGAGTTGAGGTGGCAAACAAGAATTGTGGGTGTTACACAAGTATTGTAATGGCAAACAAGACCTGGGTGTGGTGAAGTCAGTATGGTTTATTATCGTACGCCTTATTACCACCCGTACACATTTATTACTTACCACCCATCAGTATTGTGTATTATCGTGCGCCTTATTACCACCCTTACACATTACTTACCACCAGTCTGCATGGTTTATTATCGTACGCCTTATTACCACCCGTACACATTACTTACCAACCGTCACACAATTTGGACACGCGCCTGCTATGTTTTATTTTTTACCATTTACACATCTTCATCAACCTTTTTTTTTTACTAACGTAAAGATCCCTCGACAGTTGGAAATCTGACAAAATTTCTCTCATTGCACACTGCACGGCGTTTGCCCATCCTCAGTAGCCCATACAGGTGCAGAAAAGTAGACGTAAAACTTTATTTTATTTCATTTTTTTTGCTACGGATTTCTTATACAAACGTGTGATGCTAAATTTCATAGCAACACTAACAGGACCTTTTGGGATGTATGCTAATTTGGTGTATACAAAATGGCGGAATTTCTACTTTCGTTTCATTGCAAGAAATTCAATTATATTAACACGGTCTTGTCTGAACCTGACAAAATCCATTACAAATTACTCAAGAGTCGACTAATATGTCACTGAAAGAAACAACTATATATAAAAAAAGGCTGACATTTCATGAATTTTAGAGATGTTTTCTGTCACCCGGATGGCGAATAGTCAAATAAATGGACGTGGACTATCCGCCACCCGGTTGGCGATTATGTACGCCCTTTTGTGTTTCTTCTGTAGTTCATCTCCGACAGTGCGAAGGTTTTAAACCCCCTTTATATATACTCCGGATCCTCCAACTCCACATACATCCAGAAAGATGGATATTTTTGCGATTCAGTCATTCCATCTTAATTAATCCCCATTCACTATTTATTTCACCTTTCTTTTTTTTATCGAAACTGATCTCTCGTCGGCCATTTAAAACTGCGCACGCAGTAAAAAGTTCAAGGGTCACAGAATCAGAGGATACAGACAAAATGAACGTTACGGTGATGCACAACACTAATTTACAGTCAATGTAAAAGTAATTAAATATTACGTGTGGAACGTCCTCATAAAACAGGGCCTATAGTATTTCTGACTCGCCTCCTTCCGATAAATGTAAAAATATTTATCAGGGACTGGAAAAGAGGCAAATGTTTCGTACTAAGAGTAGGTCAGGTCGCCATGTCAAATAGAAACAACACAATCAAAACATCCAGATTTGCATTTACCGATTACAAAAAGATAGTGAGCCCAAAATTAATGTACACACGCGGCGGATGGGCGGCCGGAGTGATTGACATTACAATTCATGTGGGCGTAGACGGAAAGAAACATCTAGATTTAAATTTAGAACAGTCTACCTCTTGTTAAAAAAATTACTGTTACCATATTAATGTTAATAGTGTACCTTGAACCAAAATTACCATGAAACAATGTGACCGAATAACTGTGATCTATTTACCTTGATGATAAAAATCACGCAGATCAAATTGATATAGATTTTAAGTTATAAAGAAAATTCGTCTTACATTTGAAAAAGTTTTATTTACTGACAATTTCACAATTTCACTTTTATTTATTTACAAATATATCATTATATATGAACCAATTCAAAGTTCCAAGTAATATAATATGAATTAAACGATAGAAAGTTGTATCACAGAATAACACAATGGCACTGTTTGTGTCTTTTTTAACTGAATTTATGATTTATTGGTCATCATTTTGACAAATTCTTCATAATTCACTTGTCCATCGCCATCCAGGTCAGCCTCTCGGATCATCTCATCTACTTCTTCGTCTGTTAATTTCTCACCTAAATTTGTCATAACATGTCGTAATTCAGCAGCACTGATAAATCCATTACCATCTTTATCAAAAACACGGAATGCTTCACGAATTTCCTCCTCGCTATCAACGTCATTCATTTTCCTAGCCATCATGGTTAAAAATTCAGGAAAATCTATGGTTCCATTACCGTCAGCATCGACTTCGTTTATCATATCTTGTAATTCAGCTTCAGTTGGATTTTGACCAAGTGATCTCATGACTGTACCCAATTCCTTAGTAGTAACTGTTCCATCACCATCTTTGTCAAATAAACTAAAAGCTTCTTTAAATTCAGCGATTTGTTCTTCGTTAAGTTGATCAGCCATGTTAGTTAAGCAGTATGTAACTTTTTTGTAAAAAATAATTCAGAACTTTTATTGTGGCCGTACTGAACTGCCAAATATCAGTGGTCTGGGTATTATATAGGTAGTGAGGTAGTCATTAACAACAGTAATCTACAGGTAAATCCACAATCTATTCGTTGAAAATAATGTTAGATAATCCTTTTAGCTAATCAGCCGATAATCACTTTCTCTGATATAAATTACTATCCAATAAGAAAGTTACAACAATGGTTTTAAATTTTCTCAAACCCTATTTCCATGACAGTTTTTCGAGATGAGACTGGGCATGAAATAAAATAACTTTTAAAAGGGTTATATTGTCTCGTCAGCCGTAGCTTCAAGAGCTTCCATTTCCATTGAAGAATAATATTTGCCTGAACAGTATAAGTGGGATTGATGTGACCCTGTAATTTTTACATCTGACCTTTTTATGTAGGCCTAATGTTGTGATTGGTGCTAATCGCAAAGATTACGTACTTGTAATAGCTTAGTCCCGAAACATAGCCACATTTACTCTAATTGTATCTATTTTTTATACGCCCACATGAAATGGGAGGGGAGGGGGCGTAGATTGCCGTCACCGTCGGTCCGTCCACAATTACTCGTAAACACTCTACATGGCATAATTCTTGACTGATTTCGACACAACTTTGTATTGTATTAACAGATTTTGACGAAACTTATATATTATAATGTATGACTGAAGGTTGAATATTTCATAGTTGTAATTGTTACTGTACTGCCAAATATTTTATTCAAAATCAAAGCTGCCAGTGGGCATATATTACCTTGCCTAGCATGCCATCTTTATCTATCGTAGGGACCTTATCGTGTAATTTATTTGTTCCTAGTTATAAGTGTTTCATTAATTCAGATTTACATTTGGGCATTAATTTTCTTAAGCCAAAATCAATCGCTTTTTTTCCTAATTTATGATCGATATTATGATACAGATTGACCACATCAAAAATTATCAAAGAACTACCTGGATAGACTACCTTGGGAAGATGATGTAAAAAATCAATATCATCCCTGAGAAAACTCTTCACGTTTTGACATAATGGTTTCAAGAGGATATCAATAAAATTTCTTAACCTTCGTGTTGAACTGTTGTTTGGAGCTGCCACAATAGGTCGAAATTTTAAATCTAATAGTTCAAAAACATTAACAATTCTACTATTACAAATTTGTATAGCCTTTTGAATAACTTGACTTTTATGGATTTCTGGCAGTCCGTAAAAGAATGCCAATTGTATCTGTTAGATACAAGAACTCTTTTTCTGTAAGTTCACTTCGGTTGTTGCTAGGAAATTTGATCACTTTGTTTTTAACAGCATTGTTTATGCTTTCATTTGAGGGGGGCAACAATCGGTATCTTATAATAACCGTTATATGTGAGTTTGATAATATTTTGAATTCATAATTAAAATTGGCCCACCTTTATCGTCTTATCTTATAACATAACAATATTTTTGTTTTCTTTCAATGTTCTAATAGCGCGTTGCTCTTAATTACTAGCTACCACACTTTCAGATTTATTCTTGAATAATGGAGGATCTTCATCGTCATCTTTATGAAAATGATGGCTTAATTTTTTTTGTCGACAAAACTGATAATGCGGCTTTTAGTTGATGAGAGGTGAATTTTAATCCCCTATTCAAAAGTTTGATACACTCATTAGTTAATTCTGTTGTACTTAGGTTAATGATCTAACTTTCTATTTTGTACAAATTTCTTTCTCGGTGCTCTTTGTTGTTTTCGGTTGAAATTTTTGTATCCATTTTCTTCTCTATTTTTATAACGGTCCCATGATTTGTGTATATATATACATGTATAAATAGGGTCCCACGACGGTCTAATCCCAGCTCAAGTAATCCTAGTACGTTACTTCAGTTCCCGAGAAAATGTTTTGATTACAGCTCATAAGTAATTTCAATCTGTTTTAATATAATTTGTACAATTAATAGTTAAATTGAATGGTGACGTATGGTCTACAAAGGGAGGTTGTAAATATATACAGCATGTATATAAAACAGAAAAAAACGAATGCTGGTACGTTTGAGTTCTGGCATGACGAATAAAGAAACGGGGGTTGTGTACCCTGACGGTCCCTGATGTTGGTAAGGTAGTAAGATGGGACTGCTTTGAAATTGTTTACAATCCGATATATGTTGACCTTTTTTTCTGCTCCACATGGGCTATTACAGGCAGAACCATGCAGTGTACAACGGGGGAAATTTTGCCAGGACAGCGGCATTAGCATACTCTTTTTCGATTTCAGACTATCAGGGGATCTTGGACGTGCACAGCCTGTAGAAAACAGTTCCTCTGATCTGCATGACAAGTAATAAAGGTATCATCTTGAGCTATGGCGGGATTGAACCCTGGACCTACAGGTTAGCGAGCATGCATCAAATTCATTGAGCCACCTCGACTTCTAATAGAAAAGACCAATCTATTGGTGTACTATGCTGGTTACGCTGGTAATCAGTGAGAACCTGGACGTCTTACGCTAGACCATTTCCAGGTTTTGAATATTGTTTCCTGTGTATGGATCCCATATGATACTTTAAGGTCTCTCGAAAGTCTCATAGCTCTTTTGTTTTTCGTAGATTTTCTTTTGAAGAGATTGTTGTATATTAACTCCCAGGTACTTGACCGATTTTAGTTCCTCGTAGACATGTCCATGAATGATATGGGGTAAACGTTCTGGTTGTCTCTTATTTGAAATTTAGAGAATCTAGAAAGAGGGGATTCCATTAAACCGTCCCGTTGCCATGCTTGGATGGTCTCCAGGTCTTCTTAGGGCTACATCCTCCTGTTTGTTGACGCTTCGTACACTGCAACTGATGAGCTGTGGCAAGGTACTTGGGTATATCATTTATGTACAACAGGAACAAAGTAAGGCAAAATACACTCCCTTGTGGGACTCTGGATTGGAAAGCTACCCTTAAGCACCAGTTTTCTTTTTATTGTAAACAAGCGCCACATGTTGTTTCCGGTCCAGCTGTGTATACAGTCAAGTAACCTAATTTCGCGCTGACCTATTTTTCGTGCATTTCCGGAAAGGATTAATAATTTCCATGTGCGACCTCACGTGACCTCCGCATTTGCTTGTTTTGATAAACATGGGTTATCTGTACAATGTCAGCTAGTAGAATGAATCCAGTAGTTTCAAGCAGATTTCAGTTACCAAACGTCACAATTTTTTATCGGCCGAATTTCCTTATAATCCCTAGCTGTAATCCAAATTCCAAGTATCGTCTGCTAGAATGTAGTCCAACGAATGAAGTCACGTGATCAACTAGCGGATTCCGTGTCAGCAGAAAAATTCTATGGAACAAAATGTGGGCCATATTCTTATGTTGTTTAAATAACTTTTAGCAATAAATCACGCCACATATCTTATTTTGTCAGTCACTATTTTTTTTTTTTAAATCCTGGTTCTTTGAAGGAACTGTCACTAGTTATAATCAATTGATATTAAAGATAAATACTAAGAGAAGTTAATTATACCACTGGGTATCAATACAACGTGTTTTTCTCGACGTATTTATATATCAAACATTGTACGCGAAAATAGGTTACGCATTTTGCCGCCGTTGTTGAGTTGGTTACTCATGAAATATGGCTCAAAGTGAGGGGTTCATAAAAAAAATCGAAACAAACCAATTTAAATTATTTTGTAGAATATCTGAGGAAACATTTAAGACGTTAAAAAATTCTCCTTTTTTTAACTTTGACAAAATTCGGTGTTGAATCATTATATGCACGAAAATAGGTTACACCACTGTACTAATGATGAGGCTTATGTAGTAGCCTCCTGTGTGGAACTTTGTCAACCTTGAAAAAAATCCAGCAGGACAGTATCTGTCTGACCTCTATCGTCACCACTTTTAACAAGATCCTGAATCGTAACCATCAACTGAGTCTAAAGCCGTGTTGTGCATCAATTATGATTTGCTCTTCGGGTGTTTCGAATATTGACTTTTTGACGTCACTGTCCATACATACATTTTGTCCCATTGTATCCCACTCCTGTCCCACTGTGTACTAACTTGGGGTTTAGTGAGACAAAAATAAAAAAAAATTGTATATAAAAATTATCCTCACATTGGTGTTGAAATCATTGAGTATGTAGTATATTCCTTTACTTTCTACGACGAAAGTGATTAAATAAACAAAAACACTTTTGGATAAAAGCGACAAAGTATCAAAAGTGTCCCATTGTGACCCAGTTTCCCCTATGTTTGATTGCTTTTGCAGGTGCACCGCTTCAGAATATTTGTAGTTTATCGAAATGACTCACGAATGAATAATCTGACAGAGCAAATACGACAAAACAAAAGAGTTAAGTTCAATCGAATTATCGGAAAACTTCAACTTCAAATGTCTGGCTTTAATTTCATGTAATAACTTTAAAAATTGAGATAAAAGCACGTAATTATTCTCTAGAAGTTTTAGTGAATATTAAGGAATTATAATTTGTACCTTTATTAACTTGTAACACACGGGGCCTTAGTTTAGACCTATGCCGAGATTGAACCCTGGACCTACAGGTTAGCGAGCAAGCGTCTGACTCACTGCGGCTCTCAGTCTAAGTCTATAGCTAAAGCTACTAATGATTTATATGCAGCTTTTTCGACAGTGTCTATATACCGTTCTATAATAGCAGGAACCAGACATCGGACAAAGATTGAAGGCCATAAATGGCTCTGATAGACAAAAAGAAAATCCATATATCCTCTTTACAATCCCTTATATATAAGATATAAAATTAGATTAGCCAAATTCTAGTTTCATAGAATATCACAATTATTATTATATAATTAATAACATGTTAACAATAACGTATTTACAAAATACAATAGGCCTATATTACGTTAACAGTAACGTATATTACAAATATATCATTTATAGCACGTTAACAGTTACGTATATAACAAATATATTATCTATAGCATGTTAACAGTTACGTATTTACTTAATATATTATTATTTACATTTAAGAAAAAATACACTTTAAAATATGAATATAATGAAGTAAGATTATCCAAATTCTAGTTTATCACAGAATTTCACAATGGCACTGTTTGTGTCTTTGAAACGGAAATTTATGATTTATTGGACATCATTATGACAAATTCTTCATAATTCACTTGTCCATCACCATCCAGGTCAGCCTCTCGGATCATCTCATCTACTTCTTCGTCTGTTAATTTTTCACCTAAATTTGTCATAACATGTCGTAATTCAGCAGCACTGATAAATCCATTACCATCTTTATCAAAAACACGGAATGCTTCACGAATTTCCTCCTCGCTATCGCCGTCATTCATTTTCCTAGCCATCATAGTTAAAAATTCAGGAAAATCTATGGTTCCATTACCGTCGGCATCGACTTCGTTTATCATATCTTGTAATTCAGCTTCAGTTGGATTTTGACCAAGTGATCTCATGACTGTACCCAATTCCTTAGTAGTAACTGTTCCATCACCATCTTTGTCAAATAAACTAAAAGCTTCTTTAAATTCAGCGATTTGTTCTTCAGTAAGTTGATCAGCCATGTTAGATGCGTAGTGTCTGACGAAAGATGTCGAAAACTTTGTGTGAGAATTTTGAACACTGTCAAATATCAGTGGTCTGAATGTTATATAGGTAGTCAGGTAGTCATTAACAACAGTAATCTACAGATAAATCCAAAACAATTGGTTACTTACAATGTTACATAATTCATCATTTAGCCCATAATCATTTTCTAACAATTAAGGTCAGATAATCTATAATGAAACGATTATAGTCAGTTGAATATTATTGTCTCATTGAAAGAGATCATTTTCGTCTGTACTTACAAAAAAAAACTTATTGGCGATAAAAAAATCTGAATTTCCAACAGTTTTGGCAAATTGACAATTTTTCTGTAGGACATGGTTATTGTGACTGTGTGATCGTAACACAGTGATCTATATATGGTTATGAACGTATAACTGTGACCAAATTATGTGACCTTTTCCTGGCCTACCTTGTACCAAAAACGCTGTGACTAGATTGTCCATGGTCGGTCTATACCAATTAATACTCTGTCAAAATTGGCCAAAAAGAAAATAAGTACCAAGCAAATTTGCCACAAGGTATTGTAATTTGGCCACTTTGATTTGACCATTGTGAAATGAACATGGATTTGAACGCAACTTTTGAAAATATCCAAATTTTAGAATATAAATGATTGAAATTATTCTAAGTACATAGTCTGCTATTATAAGGTCTGTTTTTAGCTGAAATTGTGCTATTTTAGAAAGTTTTATTTTGTGTCCACTATGTTTAAGAATAGCCCGTTATTAGAGGCTATTTTATAAAAAAAAAAAATTTATCCCAAGTCCAAACTACTCAAATTGAGTTAATAAGAAAAACCAACAAAAAAATTGAAATAACATACGCATACAGAATATGATAACTTAAAACACATACTTGCGAAAAAATACTAATCTCAATCAGTGATTCACTTTCATTTAGTGTACAATGTTTAATTTACTTTAAAATGAAGTCACAAGTGTTATACTTATACAAGCTATGACAATAAACAATCATACATATAATAAAAGCAGACAATGACACTATTATTAACAGATTTTTTTCTACTCAATGACTTAAACAAATGCAATAGACTTTACATCATGACACCATCTATTATGGTAGAATAGTAATGCTATTTTAGAAAAGAAAACTATAGAAGAAGATGTGTGAAATTAGTACCAATTATTGTGCTATTTTTTTTAGCTAAAAATCTTTTATTTGAACCTAACCCTTAACGTAGAACAATTCCTCAGTTCCACCAGTAAAAAATGTTTATTATAGTTTCCATGGTTATTAATGTTCCTGTGGGAACCAGTAATCTTCTTATATATTTCAGATTCTGAAGATTATGGATTTCAACCTATTCATTCCCTGCGACCACATGGGGTAGTTATATTGGAACATCCATGGTTATTAGTAAGATTTATGTCAAATTATCAAATATAGCTAACATTTAATGCAGGCTTCGAAATTCATTCTGGTGGAGAACAGACTTCATGTATTCACGGCTTGTCACTTCCATTCCCATTTCTTGGTTACGACCCCTGTTTTCAGAATGTCTAGATTTCCCCCTGTCCAATACCCCTGGTGATGGTTGTTTTCTGTCGAACGTTTTAATTTAAACAACACTGCCAGTAGGCAGTTTAAGTTATACGTCTATGTAAATAACTTGTTCAATGCATTATACTCGTAAAATAGTAACAAAATTTTTACACATAACTGAAAACAGTAAGCCTTTAACCAAAGCCCGTTTATGATAAAGTGCTTTAATTTCAAATTTGCATGAATTTAAATCTGTGGCTTCCTCATTTGATATTGAAAGAAAGACTATTGAGGACATCTAATGGCCAAGACTTTAAATTTCAATACAATAATCAAATAATCAGTGTCAGTCCAATTTAGCCATATCAGTAAAGGCCTTAATACGGCCTTCTTTCATTCATCCCTTTGATAACACAACAGACGTCTACAACGCCAAATTTACGGGATCGATCAACTGTAGACAAGACCCAACATTCATTACGATAACCAGATAACCCCCTTTTCAAAAGTCAATTGATTCTACAACTACCAAAGCTTCCATAAATAGTCAAACTCAAACGCCATTAAATTTCCCTAGGTAAACACAAAAAGTTTGGTCGTAGCTTACAAAAGAGATCAAAATCTTAGCAATTATTTCGTTCACGGTGGACTTGAACCATTGCCCATTTGTCATAAAGGTATGTATCATGTTATGTCAATAAAGTAATCGATTTCTAAGTTAGATTTCTGGAAATACTTATTTCAGGACTGGTGTCATTGCTATATACAGTATATAATAGGCCCGGGTTTTTTTTAACATTAAATCACATATTGCTCTGTGACCTAGGCCAAAGCTTTCATTGAGACTCGTCTCTGTACACCTTAACACCGCCAACCGATCAAATTCCTGCCCTCTCCATCCTTTCATTCCGAGAAGCCATAAACACTAACTTTTTTCGCCTCTTTATCAGGCAAAACATCAAAACTGCTTACTTCATAATAAGTAGCATATTTAAGAAATATTTTCAGATATAATTGACGATGTTTTAGATAATGAAAAGTTTGCATACTGCCCCTTAAAAGCAGATTGGGTATGGATATTGATTTTTGGTGATAAAGAAAAGTCGTCTCACATTTGAAATAGTTTTATTTCATGACAGTTTATGATTTCATTATTTTTATGTACAAATAAACTAATACATAATAGTATGTTAACAGTTACGTATTTACAAAATATAGTAGGCCTATTATATATTACGTTAACAGTAACGTATTTAGAAATATATTATTTATAGCACGTTAACAGTAACGTATTTACAAATATATTATCTATAGCATGTTAACAGTTACGTATTTACTTAATATATTATTATTTACATTTACAAAAAATACACTTTAAAATATGAATATAATGAAGTAAGATTATCCAAATTCTAGTTTATCACAGAATTTCACAATGGCACTGTTTGTGTCTTTGAAACGGAAATTTATGATTTATTGGACATCATTTTGACAAATTCTTCATAATTCACCTGTCCATCACCATCCAGGTCAGCCTCTCGGATCATCTCATCTACTTCTTCGTCTGTTAATTTTTCACCTAAATTTGTCATAACATGTCGTAATTCAGCAGCACTGATAAATCCATTACCATCTTTATCAAAAACACGGAATGCTTCACGAATTTCCTCCTCGCTATCGCCGTCATTCATTTTCCTAGCCATCATGGTTAAAAATTCAGGAAAATCTATGGTTCCATTACCGTCAGCATCGACTTCGTTTATCATATCTTGTAATTCAGCTTCAGTTGGATTTTGACCAAGTGATCTCATGACTGTACCCAATTCCTTAGTAGTAACTGTTCCATCACCATCTTTGTCAAATAAACTAAAAGCTTCTTTAAATTCAGCGATTTGTTCTTCAGTAAGTTGATCAGCCATGTTAGATGCGTAGTGTCTGACGAAAGATGTCGAAAACTTTGTGTGACAATTTTGAACACTGAAATGAACACTGTCAAATATCAGTGGTCTGGGTGTTATTATAGGTAGTCAGGTAGTCATTAACAACAGTAATCTACAGGTAAATCCAAAACAATTGGTTACTTACAAAGTTAGATAATCTATCTAGCCCATAATCACTTTCTCATATACATTATTATTATTATCTATTATAAACAAAATTATAACAATGATTTTAAATAGCCAGCTTCCAAAACAGTATGACATAATTATGTATATATATAAGTATGTAAGACTACACTTGGCAGACTGTGTGTTTCAATCAAGTTTTTTTATTCTAAATGCCGGAATGCTTTCACCTGATCACTTTGGTTTAAAAGGACATTCCGCTTTCTATTTTAGGCCAAAATATTTTTTTGCTCAAATTTGTGAAAACTTTACACCAAAATCTAGAGAAATGTGCCTTTTAATGTATCTGAAAGTTTTAACTAAAAAATTCCAGCTGCTAATTTTTAAACGCCAAAAATATTTTAAAACATTACCTAAGGTTTTTAAGTTCGTCGTGCTTTTTGGAAGCTGTTAAAAAACTATAACTGTACAGATTTGAGTAAAACAAATGCCTAATTATAGAGAAATATGTCTCCTACTAAAGGTTTCAACTGATAACATCGTGTAATTATAAAGCCAAACACCAAAACTATGTCAAACTGCTTAATTAATTTTTTAAATTAAGTTTTTAATTAACCCTTTTGAAACAAATTCAGTTTGTATCAAGAAGATACATAAATATTAATAGCATACTTAAAAAATATTTCCAGGTGAATTCACCAATTTGTATCATAAAGGCTATAATTTGAAACTGTCTAAAAGTTGATTTACACAGGCATTGTGACCTAGGCCAGTGCTTCTATAGGAAAGTATCTTCTATAACGCCTATAACAGGCATCCTTCTTTTTTCAACCTCTTTCAAATTTTCGGTTGCCAGTGTATGGTGCACCCGATCGTGTTAGTTTTCTGCGCTGGAAGCGTATATGAACCATAGCTAGTAGCAGGTCGAAGGCAAGGCAAGATTATCATAACATCAAAATCATTGGGAAATGAAGTAACGGGATCGCAAAACATTGCAAAACTTGCACAGATCAATTGAGATTTTATTTTCATATAAACTTTCAAATTTTCATGTTGATCCTAAAAAGTGATCGCATTATATTATACGCCTGTGTGTTATATTCGCAATTGCATATACGGTATCAAAAAAAATGAAATTTGAATAGTAATTTATCAAATTTCACAAGTATTAAGCTAGAGATTTGGAATTTAAAAACTGATCATAATTCATAAATAAATAAAGAAAGTATGTGAAATTTCAGCTTTCTAAGACTATTCAGAAGTTGCCTTTTGTTTGGTTTTTTAAAAGCAAAATCCCGAGACAGTTGGACCAAAATTGTTGATTTGGGGCTGAAAATTGTATATGAATTGAGATTTTATTTTAAAAACAAGGTAATTTGTACGAAGACGACAAAGAAAGAAAAGGATTTTGAATAATTATTTCGTATGCAATTCATTTTA